ATTATTTGTACCACACAAAATTTGTCCTTACGTATGCATTTCAATTTGTTAGTGCTTGAAATGTGGAGCCCTTATCCCAGGGGGGGGGGGGGGGNGAGGCCTAATTGTGGCACATCTAAATATAAACTCAATCCGAAACAAAATAGAGGATCTCAAAACCCTGATTGCAAAAAATGTTGACATCCTCGCAGTTTCTGAAACCAAATTAGACGAATCCTTTCCTACTAATCAGTTTTTAATTGATGGTTTCAAAAAACCCTTCCGTTATGATAGAAATACAAACGGTGGTGGGATTCTGGTTTATATCAGAGAAAAAGTTCCAGCAAATGAAATTAAACTGGTGAACATCGCCAATTCAATTGAATGTGTATTAACTGAAATTAATGTGGGCAAGAAAAAATGGGCATTGATCAGTACCTACCGCCCCCCTTCTCAATGTGAAAAATTTTTCTTCGCAGAGATGGGCAAAGTGCTTGACCAACTTACACCTCGATACGAAAACTTCGTCATTATTGGAGATTTAAATTCGGAAGAGAAAAATTATGAAATTAGCAATTTCATGGATATCTATGGATTAAAAAATTTAATAAAAAGTCCCACTTGTTATAAATCTGCTGACAATCCCTCTTCCATTGATATGTTTCTAACGAATAAAACCTCTGGTTTTCAAAACACTACGACAATAGAAGTGGGATTGTCTGATTTTCATCTAATGATACTAACAGTGTTAAAGAGTGGTTTTGTAAAAAGAGGTCCAAGGATTGTGACATACCGAGACTACAGTAAATTTGATCCTATAAAGTTTCGCAGTGACCTTAGAAGCAATCTAGCTAAGAGCAGCGAAGCATACTCTGAATATGAAAATTTTAATTCTGTAGTCGAAGAAGTTCTGAATAACCATGTACCTCTAAAACAGAAATATTTACGCGCAAATGATGCACCCTTCATGACGAAAACTTTAAGAAAGGCAATTATGCTCCGTTCACAGTTACGTAACAGATTAAACAGGCATAATACTTCTGAAAACTGGAACGCTTTTAAAAAGCAAAGAAATAGGTGTGTGAAAATTCTGCGACAAGCAAAAACATCATATTATGGTAACCTTGATATAAATTCTGTCACTGACAATAAAAAGTTCTGGAAAACTGTAAAACCACTTTTTACTGACAAGGTACAAACCTCTTCAAGTATTACGCTTATCGAAAATGAAAAGTTTATTACGAATGACAGTGAAATAGCTGAGATCCTTAATGAATTTTTTACAAATATCACAAAGACAATTGACATTGCCCCTGGTGAATGCATTCTCAATTCGACAGACCATTTGCTGGATCCTGTTGAAATTGCTGTTGAAAAATATAAACATCATCCCAGCATCCGCAAGATTAAGGATAAGGTAAACCATGGCACATTCTTCGAATTCAAACCAATTACAATGCAGGCAGTCAATGATGAATTATTGAGACTAAATACAAAAAAAGCGTCTACAATTGAAAGTATTCCTCCGCGGATACTGAAAGAAAACGAAGACATTTTTGCACCATTACTGACGACAATTTTCAATAATTCATTGCTCCAGAAAACGTTTCCTGAAGATCTTAAATTAGGAGACATAACTCCACTATTCAAAAGTGACAAAACTACAGAAAAACGAAACTATCGACCTATCACCGTTCTATCCGCATTATCAAAGGTCTTTGAACGGCTTCTATATGCTCAGATGGTCGACTTCGCGGATACGTTCCTAGTTCCCTACTTATGTGGTTTTCGGAAAGGTTTCAACACACAGCATGCGCTGTTGAGATTAATGGATATCTGCAAGAATTCCCTAGATAAAAAAGGGGTGGTTGGTGCCTTGCTAATGGATCTCTCAAAAGCGTTTGATTGCATAGACCATGAGCTATTAATTGCGAAATTAAATGCCTATGGTTTTTGTAAAGATGCTCAATTATTGATTTATAATTACCTGTCCGGTAGAAGACAAAGGGTAAAATTAAATGGTTCATTCAGCACTTGGCGAGAAACCTTTGCAGGTGTACCACAAGGATCAGTCCTTGGGCCTCTTCTCTTTAATTTATATATTAATGATTTATTCTTAATGGTAACTGATACTGCAGTATGTAACTTTGCTGATGATACTACGATTTTTGCAGCTGACTGTCAATTAGATAAAGTTTTAGAACGGCTAGAAACTGATGCTCTTATTTTATCAAAATGGTTTCCAGAAAACTTTATGAAATTGAATGCAGGGAAATGTCATCTTCTTACTTTTGGAACAAATCAAGATGACTTTAAGATCAAAATCGGTGAGGCCATTGTTGAAGAAAGCTCTGAAGGAAAACTGCTAGGGGTGATAAAGTATAAGAGAGTCCCAATCATTGGCAACATTTAAAAAAGAATTAAGAGCACACCCTATAGAATGCGACTGTAGATTGTGTGAAAAATTTATTGCTGGGTTAGGTTTTATTTAGAACATTATACCTTAAACCTTTTTAATATTGTATCATATATTTTTATTTCATACTAACTCTTTATAGATAGTTGGCCTTAATTAGCTTCTTTATAGCTACCAGCCGTTCATTTAGTACGCCAACTTTAAACAAATTATTTATTATTATTATTATTATACCGTATTTTTGCGGGAAATCACTTCCCTTTCCGAACCGTTGCCTAAATGGCCACCACGTCAAAGTTAGGGAAAGGAACTTTGAACTATTTTTTCAAAAAGCAGCGAGAAAGAACTGCTGTTTCCAGCAAGTTATCAAATGATCAAGATAACAATGGACTGATCGAATCTAGTAAGGATCAGGGAGATGGGAATATAATTGCAGTTTCTATACGCAATAGCGTTTTAGGCCTTTGCCTAGTGAACGAGAAAAATGACAAAAATCAAACAGAAACCACTTATAAACTCCAATACTAAGAACAAATCATTTTAAAGACATTTTGTCGTAGATCTTTTAGTCTAAGAAATCTAATGTCATATCTTTGTTTAAATCTGATATTTCTTTGAAATTCTCAGTACAGATACAATTATGTAGCTTCTTATAAGAAATAGCTCTTTTGCCACTTATTTTAAAAAATTGTTATTTGTTAAATTTAGTTTTGTCGGTGAGGTTACTTATTAATCATCAATCTTTTTGTTGTTTTGTCGAAAAAATTACCACATAGTTAAGCAGATATTATTGATATTAATGTTTTAAATTTTTGGTTTGCAGATAAGGAATCCAGTTGTTGCTGCCTTAGTTCGTCACATTTAAAATATTGATCTTAAAATGTGTGATCATTTAACCTCTTTAGCAAAAAAAATTTTTCAGTAATAAAACTTTTCTCACAACCAAAATTAATTTGGTTTGGCACTGCCGTTGACAGCTATTGTTATATATATTTAGCAGGGATCCCCCCGGACCGTCAAATTTGCCGAAAATTAATCATTAATTTGCCAACAGGTTTGAAAATTTGCCGACCAGGCATACCTTGATGACAAAACCTCTACGCATTTGAAATATGATTTTTTTCAAGGGTGTCTCGCACCCCTCACGCCCCCTTTCGTGCCGGCCCTGCTGACCCCCCCCCCCCCAAACAAAAAGTTGTATCTCGGTCCTTGCCAACAACAACGGTAGTATAAGAACCATGGTCCTAAAAAGGTAGCCTTTCTTTTTAAACTATTTGATTTCAAGAAAAGGGTATAAATTTTCTGGGTCTCAGAGAAAAGAGGAATCAAATTGGAATCAAATATCAGAGATAAGGGTCAGTTTTCTAGACCCTCAGACACGTGTGCTTACATTTGATAGTGTGAGATGACCCACCGGGCTTAAGTGTTAGCATTGGCGTTGAAGACTTTAAATTTTGACGGGACATAGAGGGTGGTGTGGTTTTACCCAATAAGGAATGAAAATACTCAAAAGCAGTAAAACTCTACCTGAATAGCAAGGGTACAACCCCCTAGAATCTTTGCACATGAGTGTTAGGACATTGAGAAACCTGTAAAATCTCAAAAGAGCCGCACTCGTGAAATGTTAGGTGACTAATAAGTGCATGCATCTTCAGAAAGAATCATCATTATTTGTACCACACAAAATTTGTCCTTACGTGTGCATTTCAATTTGTAAGTGCTTGAAATGTGGAGCTCTTATCCCAGGGGGGGGGGGGTGCTTTATCTTGAAGAAAATTTACGGGGATTTGCCCTACACAATAATTTTTTAAACCGGTCCTTGAAAAAATTCCTGTAGACATGAAATCTGTCCTGGAATTATAGCTTTTATTCCAAATTTGAGCTTTAAGAGAATAACGCTATAGAGTGAACAACATTTCCATTTTCATGATTAATCTAACCTGTCCCGGAAAAAGTATCTTTGAAGAGCATACCTCTGCTAGAAAGGAGACAACCCTGTCCCAGAATTTTCAGCCGAGAATGAGACTGTTTTAGAAAGGGCATCCCCAGTAGTCAGTGTATAACGTCCAAGTATCATTTTTATTCTGTGATGGATGGCTGAAATCGGAAGAGAGAGAACAAAAACATAGAGAGAAAGAGAAACGTCAGCGTTGCATAAAGTGTTACCGTAATTCTTCGAATAAGCCCCCACGCTCGAATAAGCCCCTCCCCACCTAAAAAATCATTTTTGCAAATAAGCCCCCCCCCTTCGAAGGGAAGCATAATTTCAGAATAACATCTTATTTCAAGGAAGCCCCCACAGGACAATAGCTATACAGTATTACTTCCTTTGACTGGAGACCAAAAAGCAAAAAAGCGACTTTTGTGATGTCAAAAAATTATAATATTTGTTAGATCTTCACACCTTATTTCATTGAGAGAATTATGTTGTTTTTATGTCGACCTTTGAGGGAAATACTAAAGTTTGAAATAAGCCCCCCCCCCTCGAAAAGGCCTACCCTCGAATAAGCCCCCACCCAAAATTCAATTTTACAAATAAGCCCCCGGAGGCTTATTCGAGGATTTACGGTACCTTAGACAACAACACGAAAAAGATAAATAGCAAGCCATCGCATTTGATATACGTTCCTTCCACTTCATCATTACACGTTTTTGTAAGTTTCTCAACTTTTGCGAATTAAGGATGTCTTGAATTTTTGGGTTAGCAGAAAAAATGACGAAATAAACAAAAAATTTGACTGTAACGCTGCAGATAAATGCGAAATACGTTAAAACAGATGGCGTAAAATTTCAGCTCAGTATGTTGACGATTTTATATCGTCAAAAAATCAACATTAGCGGGTCTGTATCCATGGCTTTGTACAATGATGTCACCAAAGTTACCAGGAAACAGTTTTGGTTGGAAATCTTATCTCTATAACTGCCATGTTAGGGTGAGTAAAATATGGCGAGAAAGAAAATACGGCAAACAAAGCCGGCAATGGAAAGATCCACTGATCATAGGCCAGTCGGTTGATACGCAGGGTACCAACGGCTCTAAACAGGTAAAATGCTAGGCCGGTTTTTTAATTTAGCATCATTGGAATCATCAGGGTACAAAGCAAAATAAAAAAAAACTGTGATAAAATTGCATCCTTATTTAGATTGCCGAAAATATGCGACACAAGAAATCGCTTTTCGGTGTGAAATTCATTATATTTCATTTCTGAGAATAAATCACTACAAATACATCATGTAAATCAGAAATAAGCCAAATCAATAGTATTTAAAGTGAAAAAATTGCCCAGACTGGAAAAGGGTTCGTGGAAACATGTGATATCGTATTACGACTGTTTGAGATCCAGTTTTCTTCGTTTAATGGCCACATTGTATGAAAAGGTATTGAATAAGAAATGTGGTATTGGGGGCGAATGTTATCAATACAGGGGGTAGTAAACATATAATACTTCCTGTCATGGTCGGCTCGATTAGGGATTAAATGGGGGGAGGGGGTAATAAAAAAGGTATTTAAAGCATTCTCAACAGCCAAGTCGAATTTTTAAAGCACCTAAGGATCATTGTGTCTGTGGTGAATGTGATTCAAATATAAGCATTTAAAATAATGTTTATTCTTTTGGTTCTACAGTGACTAAGAGATCATTCCCTTCGACGTGCGTACCAGGGCTGACTGAAATTGACGTCACTATGCCCTCAATTGGCGACGTAACGTTGGTCTCCATCTTCATTGCGCTGAGCACCACTAGTGGAGCACCCTTTGGCACAACTTCGTTTTCTTTTACGCGAATGGCAACAACTTTTCCGGGCATTGGGGCGCCAACCGACCCTTTGACGCCCTTGACGGCTTTAGGATTTAATACGACTTTCTGCGAAAAAATAAACATCAAAGTTTATAGATTAACAGTTTAACAGTTAAGCCTAGAGTTTAACAAAATTTAGCCATTTGGGTTGTCGCTGATTTCGGTGATGTTTCTATAGAAATGACTTAAATAATATATTGAAAAAGGATCTTAATAAAAGGAAATGAAATCGGTTACTTGCTTTCCTTGATTCTTGAAAAGAAATCCATTATTAAGTCAAATGAAGACCAAAAATGTCTGCTTACATCAAGAGGACGACAGAGCAAAGTGCTTCGTGTGCATACAAAGGCTTAGAAAAAATCAATCGCACCGTGGAACCTTTTAACTTGGAAAACTTCTTGACTTCGCAGAAATATTTATATCCCTAACATTAAATCTATCTGAATATATTTTATAGGTTCGTTAAGCAAAACTTCAACTTAATGTGCTCACGGCAAGTTTGTGGCACAGAAAGTTACATATTACAAAAGAGTATTTTTCAACCCTGTCGGTGTACAACCACAGAATAAATTTTTGTAAAATGTCTTGATAGGAACAACAACTTACTTTTGTTTCCTTTTTATCTTCAACCAAAAACGGCCTAAGCTGCCCATTCACTTCACAGAACAACTCTCGCTTGCCTTGTTTGTTTGCTTCTCCAATGGCTAAAATCTTCAGGTTTAGAGTTTTTCCGGTCTCAATTTGCACTTCAAACTCTTCGCCTATTTCAGGGCCAACGAAGAAAAGACGCGTTGGCAAGCCTTGTACTGGTCCGAACTCTTCTTTAAACAAAATGTAATCTTTGAAGACATCGGGATACAATGCAGCACTAATTACATCTTTTTTGCTGATGGCAGTTGCTCCTAGTTTGCAGTAATAGAAATATAAATTACTTAAAAAACGATCATGGGGATACAGACAAAAAGCACGCAACGGTTTAGCAAAAACATTTTAGCCAGCGCTAACTGATCCCATTGGCTTGAACTACGTAATACTAGAAATTATAATTCAACAGACAAAATAGGGTATGAACGCAACTTTTTAGGAATATCCTTTACTAAATCGACTCTTTGTTTTGCTGAGGTTCAGGATTAAGGAAGAAAGGGGCTGAGAAAAGTAAAATTGACTACTTAAAGTAAAAGTCTTGAAAAGCTAACCATAGTCTTGTTTAAGCTCTGCTTCTAATTGTTCAAAATCAAGTGGTGGGAGGCTTTCTCCTGGTCTTCCATCAACCGTTGGTTTCCCCTTCAAAAGCTGCAACGAAGAAGCTTAGTTAGAAGGCATTCACTTCTACAAATCATACCGTTTAGAATGAAAATTTGTTCAAAAATCAAGCCTAAAACGACAGAGTTTATGACTCGGTTTGAGGGTTTTCCAAACGAAATCTTCTAAGACAAGATGCCATTTCAGCCCGTGGTATGTTAAACAGATTTACCTGAACAAAATAACTGAAAATAAATCACGATCAAGGGTCGAAACTCTAAATAAATTGAAAAGAGAGAGTGACGCGCCCTCTCCAATCAGGACTGTGAGCCGCCCGGGTAAGGAACAGCTCTATTAAACACTATACTGTCAAAATGAGTATTTAGAGGGTTCTGAAATATTACTTTTGTTCGTAGAGGTTCTGGGAATCCACCATAAGGCTGGCCAAGGTGGCCTTGAAGAAACTCGATAACTGATGAAGGCACATTGAGTTCATCGGCTCGCTGCAAAAAGTCTTGCTCCTCTAGTTTGTTCTGCACCATAAACTGTGCCAAGTCGCCGACCACCTTTGATGTTGGTGTCACCTACAAATGACAGATAGTCATCAAATTGTGACACGACGACAAAACAATGTTCTACTAGCACTGGCATTAAATGTTAATTTGAAAAGGTCAAATACAGAAACATGACTTTATATAGAGTTGACTTTTACTCTAATGCTTTGTAATTCAATATCAAGATTGCAATTTATTATGCAAATGTTACCCTTTATTTATTCATTAAATATTTATTACTTCTCTAACCTTCACTAAATCCCCGAGCAGCTTATTTGCAATGACGTATTTCCGCTTCACTTCTGGGAACTGGTCACTGAGCCCCAGACTGAAAGCTTGGAATTGCAAATTGGTGTATTGGCCTCCAGGGATTTCATTCGTGTACACATCAGCATTGCCTGTTTTCATTGTCGTGGTGCATTCAAAGGGGGCATAAAGAAGCCGTGTCTGTTCCCAGTAGGCACTGTAGTCAAATACTTTATCCATTGGAATTCCTACAAATTGATTTGATAAATTACTTACCTAAAGCTTCACAAAACGAAACTTTCTGCTACAGATAGGGCATATATTTTCAAGGAACCTTGTCACAAACGACATTACAAAATTAGGCGGGAACCTAGAATTTTGGGCGCATTTCAGGTTTCAGATTTTTGCAACTTAGAGACACGAATCTTAGGGGCTTGTAGGCTGGGCAACCTGCTAAATAACTTTGGGTTAATTCAAATAGGTAGGGAATGGTGAATGTACAGGTACACAGCAGGATTCACTTGCAAGCGGGTTCTGTTCAAGCTTCACTCCTCACCGTTCAACGATAATGGCAGTTCAGGCTGAAACAGCGGAAATAATACAGGTTCGTGTATTTCACGAAATTCCTTAAAAAGGTTGTGTTATCCAAAGACCTCGCAAATGACAAAGGTATAGAAGAATCAGCGCAGAAAGTGCAAAATTACAGGCAGTTCATTCTTTAACTTGGAAGTATTGAGCTCTATGCAATACAAATGATATAAGGCATTAAGTGTGTGGATACCTGTGTCAAGGTCTGTGTTCTGAAGTGCCGCGATTACAGCGCCCATACTTGGCTGTGAGGTCATACCGGACATAGAGTCAATAGCGACATCAACGACGTCTGCGCCTGCCTCCGCAGCTGCAAGCATTGATGCCACGCCGGCTCCAGCTGTGTCATGTGTGTGTACATGAATTGGCATCTTTGGGTACTGAGCTCGTAAGGACCCAATAAGAATCTGGGCAGCTTGAGGCTTCAACACGCCCGCCATGTCCTGCACAAAAGTTTAGCTAATAATAATTTTGAAGTTTAGTTACTGATGAATACGAGTAACATATATAAACAATGTTTTATCATTGAGCAGTATTTTATTGACAGTAGGTGTTTTTATTGCCAAAAAATCGACAAACCTTGATACAAAGCACGTGTACGCCGGCCTTTGTCAGTTCCTTGGCAAGATTCATATAATAATCGATGTTGTATTTTGTTTTACTTGGATCAGATACGTCACCAGTATACGAGATCGCAGCCTCGACTACAGCACCTGCCTCGCCTGCAGCATCAATCCCAACCTGGAATGAATTGATCATAAATCATAATATTTTAGAAACAACTCCACCGAAGGCTAGGGGATGGGGGCGGTGAAAGCTAAGCTTTACATCATAAAAGATGATACCTTTTACATCAATTGGCATTGCGAGGAAGCTGAATTGTTTCGTACAATAGCACAACACTCGAACTGTCGAATAAACAAAAGATGAGGTAGGACTCAAAATCACTCACTTGAAGGTTCGGAAGATAGTTTAGGGCATCGAAAACTCTGAAAATGTCCATTCCGTATTTCTGTGCCATTTTACAGAACTCGAAAACGACGTTGTCTGGATAGTTCTTGTAGCCAACTGCATTTGCTCCTCTTAAGAGCATTTGAAATGGAATGTTTGGGATTAGTTCTCTGAGCTGTGCCAAACGATCCCAAGGACACTCCTTTAGAAAACGTAAGGCTACATCGAATGTGGCTCCTGAAAAAATGAGACAGAATAAAAATTAATCAGAATAAGAATTAGACAGACCTATAAATAGGAAGACATCGACTAAACTGAAAAGAATAGTCTGTTGGAAATTGGCATTTATAAAATCTGTTACGCTTCAAGAGTGTTTTTGTGATCAGCTGTACAGTGGTGAATGTCGTTCGGATAGAAAGGCGTGTTAAGCTGAGCTATGTTGTAACACTAAGCTCTAAACCGAGTGTGATCATATAAGAACATAAATAGTTACTTGGTGTTTCAAAGTACTGCAATAGATAACTGAACAAGAGAAAAATATTAGCCTTACCGCCCCAGCATTCCAAACTGTACAAATTAGCAAATGAATCCGAAACAAATGGCGATACCCTCAGCAAATCGTGGGTCCGAACACGGGTAGCCAACAGAGACTGATGTGCATCTCGAAAGGTCGTGTCGCATAGTAGAAGACGACCCTCTCGTCTCACTGTCCTGGCAAAACCATCAGGTCCCTGTTGCAAGAGAATATCTCTGTACCCACTAGGGCGGTTGATGCGACCCGCAGCAGACGAGTTTGAAGGAACCTGTGAGAAAAATGCCAGGGCATGTTAAATTTAAGACAAAAACGTACCTTGGCTTGGCCACACAGAATCTTACATGCAAGAAGAAAGAAAGTAAGAAAGAAGGAGAGAAAGAAAGAAAGATAGAAAAAAACCCCTGTACATGTAATCTTTTAAGAAGCTTTGCAGCCCGGTTTTATCAGATTATGCTGCTGATATCAGTTTATAATTTTTCAGTTTTTATTTTCAGTTTTTATTATATGCTGATAAGTAACTAAATGGAAACAGATCATTCAAATTTGCTTTTATATTTCATTATCAATAAAGAAATGCTGCCCGGCAAACATTCAAAAGTAGTGCTTTTCTATTATAGCGTGACACAGCTACACAATGAAGCTTGGTGCAAAATAAGAGACAATGAAGTATGGTGCAAAATAAGAGACAAAAACAAAAAGGCGTTTCAGATTTCTGCGCTTGGCCCGCGGGTACGACGCACGCCACTCCATATAAACATACACGCATTCACATTACCTGGCTTTTTGAAAATATGTAATTTTTGACCTTCGGAAGAAATTACAGAAAACATTAGTGCATATTTAAATTTTGAATAGTCTTAAGTTATCATTACTGTAATAAGATACTGCAGTAAATATGGTACTTTATGGATACTGAGAGAAGAAAAAGGTTCATGACGCTACATCAAGTAAAAGAAATTTTGTACTTGACAAAATCCAGTAAAATATATATAAAGTCTTGTATGAAATGCAAGTACAAATACTTTTATCACTTTTCACAATTATTTCGAATTTCAAAATTGAATGTCAAAGATAACTAATACTATGATTATAAATATGAAGTTTATTTTATAGATTGAGCGTGAATAGTGCGAGGTACGAGTGCGAGGTATTCACGCATAATTATGCGTGGATAGTGAGAGGTACGCCAGTTATATTTATTAAATGTTACTGTGTATGCCGCGAATGCGTGTGAGTGCGTGCGTATGTTGTACGTGAACCTGGTCAGCCGGCTGTGAAACTGGTCAATTCCAACAAGCTCATAGATGCCAAAAAATTCACCATAGCATCGACTGGAGTAAAAAACTTTACACGATGACAAGACGACAGCACTTCAAACTTCCCAAAGTTTCCTAACAGATTTTGAAGCACCGATGGCAAGCGAAAATGTTAACTGAACTGAAACAATCCACTTAAAACTTTAATAGCATTTCCAATCTGTTGATGTTTTGGCATTAAAAACGAAGGCAAGTTTTAAAAGCTTATTAGCGACATGTTATAGCCTTAAGGTAGCCATGGCTGCTCGGGATGAAATCAAAACTGGTCTTGTTGAAACAGATTGTGATCCTAAATTAAAAGGCCAGATCCTAAGATTACTTGCCAAAAAGCCATTCAATGATAAAGGCGAAAATGTTTGAAATAGGAATATTCAGGTATAGGTTTCAGTGAAAATTCATCAAAGAGGTGCAATGCAAGGGCTACTGCGGTGATCTGACGGGTCTGAATGAAAGTGTGCATTAGTAAGTTAGGAGCAATGACAAAAGGAAGGGTAGAATGAATTTACCTCTGGTATGTTTGGGGTGATTTTAGCCGGTTTCATACCAGTCGACAACGGGGTCACAGGTCCATTTACAATAACATGCCCAAGATAATGCAGCAACTTTTGTGCTCTGTTCTGACTTCGTTGAACATCGAAAAGCTCTGGGTTGTTATGGATAAAGTCGGTGTTCACGAATCCATCCATGAACAGAGGGTGCTTCAGCACATTTCGAATAAACGGGATATTTGTCTGCAGGAGGGGCAAAATAAACGGTTCATTTCTATATCGTCATCCAAAAAATATATGCATAATAAATAGGTGAGATAACATTGCTATATTCCTTTCTCCATATCATTCATGCAATTGCCTGCATCATATCCTTTCATGAAATGATAAAATAACTGAAGGAGCAAAGGCCTCTAATTGACTTTAAAGAACAATTTTTGCCAAAATTTCAATACATAGCCAACTGGTCAAAGAGTTGGACCAAACTGTCCATTTTCTTCATCAGGGTGTAAATTAAATATTTTCACTTCCAAGATTCTTTTGTGGAAGCCAACGCACATTTTGATTCTTTCAAGCAAAAAAGGAAGAACATTCGATTCCATTAATAAAAATAATTTCCAGTAAAATAGAAATACAGAGAGCTGTACGAGCACATTGTAGGACTGTTCAAATTGTAGGAACAAATCATCCTAAACCGAATTACCTTGACGCCTCGGATCCTAAATTCTTTGAGAGACCTGCTCAGCTTATCCACTGTTTCTTTCCATTCACTAGCGTGGGCAATGACTTTCACAAGCAGCGAATCGTAATGGGGTGATACCTCTGCCCCTGCGAAGCCACATGCTCCATCTAAGCGTATCCCCATACCTTCTCCACTGCGAAATACCTGAAAACGGCACAAAAATGGATGCCAGTTAGGGTCGTGATTGTCCATGACAATTACGTGTCCATGACATATATATATATATATATATATTTTGTGATTTATGGACAATATATCTTTATGATTAAATTTTGATTAAATATCAGGCTTGTTAATAGGTATATTTGTAGTAAGTTTTCGGTAATAATTTGTAACGCAATTGTAAGTTTTTAAATATATCAGATATTTTCATTTTGTGCTTATCAGATATTCTTATATGTGGGGCAAAAGCTTCTTTGTATCAAAAAGCTAAATTGAAAGAATAGATTAAACCTTGTCATAGAAGAAACTGCATCTCACCTCGATCCTGCCCGTATCAGGAACAAAATTATTCGATGCATCTTCAGTGGTGATTCTGGCTTGGATGGCATGTCCGTTTAGGTGGATATTCTCCTGGGAAAGTCCCATTTCCGCTAGCGATTTCCCTTCCGCGACCCCAATCTGCGCTTTCACCAAATCAACTCTAGAATGGACGGCTACACTTATATCGAAAAGCATTAAAGCACAGGACATTGTAGTATAATTGGCAAAAACTTCTACATTGGGTTGAAGATATTGCACCATTTCGGTCTCCTTAAATATGACACTAACTTGCTTGCACGGTCAAAAGAAGGCTAGCAAAAACACTCTTCTCGTGAACAATTTTATTGAAAACTTTTAATGACAAAATATTGTCAGTTGCTCTCTTACCCGGTGACCTCTTCAGTCACAGTATGTTCCACCTGAAGCCTTGCATTGACTTCTATAAAAAAATGGTTTCCTTCCTCATCTAGAAGAAACTCCACAGTGCCTGCATTTTCGTAGCCCACAGCCTTGCATAACCTGACAGCGTGACCTGTTAGGGTGCTGCGCAATTCCGCCGAGAGGTGTGGCGCAGGAGCACTCTCTACGACTTTCTGATGTCTTCTCTGCACAGAGCAATCTCGTTCATAAAAGTGCACAACGTCTCCGTAGGCGTCCCCAAGAACTTGCACCTCTATGTGCCTTGGACGCGCTGAAATGCAGAAATATTGATGCGAATGGAATAACAAAAATCGAATAATTGGCTTTTTGTAGAAACTATCAACCGGCACTATAATAATTGTTCTTTTGATCTTTCTTGTTATAATTTGGTTTTTCTAAGCCACATATTATTATCATTATTAATAAATGCAGAGGAAGTTATCTCTTACTTACAGATGAATCTCTCGACAAACATAGAGCCATCTCCAAAAGCCGCCCTGGCTTCTGATGTTGCCAGTTCAAACATTTTCTCTAGCTCATCAATGTCACTGACGACTCTCATTCCCCTTCCTCCACCACCGTATGCTGCCTTCAACATAATCGGCATGCCAAATTCCTCGCAGAACTCTCTCACTTCCTCCATCGTCTTAACAGGCTTGTCTGTTCCAGGAATCACAGGAACGCCATTCTTTACGGCAGCTTTTCGTGCTTCAATTTTGTCTCCCATTAAGTGAATAATCTCCGGCCTAGGCCCGATAAACTTGATGCCTGCTTTGACGCATGCCCTCGCGAAGTCATGTCTTTCCGAAAGAAACCCATATCCAGGATGAATTGCGTCAACATCATGTTCCTGTATTGAACCAGGCAGATGGAGCAAAATATTAACTTGAGAAAAAGGTTGGAGCACGAAATATTAACAATAGTAAACAAAATGTTGTATCAAATATAAATGTATAAATCACCATCTTATTTCATCTCTAAAGTTGCAATAAATTGTTGATTTGCAATCAAACCCTTAAGAAAATAACGTCTCTTTGCAGCCATTCTCAGAAAGAAAAAAATTATCTGAGATGATTACTGGTACCTTAGCAACACGAATGATCTCTGGTGCATTAAGGTATGCTGCAACCGGAGGCATGCCTTTACCAATCATGTATGCCTCGTCAGCTTTCTGTCGATGCAGCTGTTTGGCGTCCTGCTCTGAGTACACAGCAACGGTCCTGATGCCTGCTTCGGTGGCAGCACGGAATACACGAACCGCGATCTCTCCCCGATTGGCGACCAGAATTTTGTTGATTTTCGTTTTCACTGGCGTTTTCACGGATGCTGCTGTTGTGCTTTGGTATGCGTGCCGATTTTGGCATGGCAGTGCCAACCGGCTTGCCAGTCGCAGTACATGGTCGCTCTTCAGTGCAAACTTTTTCAAATTCACCTCTCGCAGTTTCTGGCTCTGGATACGGAACATCTTTTAATCCTAAGGGAAATGATAAACATTGTTGATAATTGTTTCTCGCAAAAGCAACCTGGCAGATGAAGATGAAACTAAGATTGAATATTCCCAGAATAAATTTTCAAAAGTGGGGAATCATGTGATCGAACATTACAAATTAATCACTTATAACGGTGGAGGCTTGAAAATGGATTTCCAAGGCAAAGCTTTGCATGTCTGAATTCAAAGAGCATGCTTGAAAAAATCAAAAGAGTTCGCTGATTGGAGAACGAAAATTCGACCGAAAGCAAATGGAATATCCCTGTCTTTGTAGCAACAAACAATGGGGAGCAGAATTGCTGTAAACGCCAACTTAGAAAATTAACGAGAAAAAGCTACAGGAGACTTAAGTCAATAACCAAGTTCATCAAACTAGAATATAACCACCAAGAGTCGACACAGCCAATTTTAATTTTTTATTTTTAAACAAACAAGATTACACGATACTTGATGTCAGCAGAAAACAACCAATTTCGGGCCACATATCGAACTTCTTGCTACAATTAAAAAAGGCATTATTGATGCAGACTTTACCAAATACTAACAGACTTTTTTCCGCAATACCTCGGTAAAGTGAAAGCCATATGCAGGTTTTTCTGAGGGTTTATCCACAAATACAAACCAACGATTCACACAAGATCATCTACTAAGACAGATTACAATTAAGTTTACATGTGCTTTGTAGTGATAAGCGATTTAATTTGGCCGCAAGATCGTACATAAAAAAGATTGTGTTCAGCCATATGCGCGATATTATCTGATATTATCAGAATTAATACATTTGTTATTGCAAAATGCTAAAATTTTCACTTTAATTAATAAAAAATTACAGGATGGTCTAGTCAACGCCTTCCCTAAAAATGTCTTATAATCTTCCGATTTTGAGAATTAAGAATCAAGTAAAAGCATTTACGGTAATCAAGTTTTTCGGAAAAAGAAAAATTTGAAAAGAAAGGTTAATCACAATATTTTATTCTGTTGGTAAGAATACAGGCAATTGAGTTTGGTGGATCAAATAATTTATGAGCATTTTCGTTTCATAAATTTGGCAAAACTCAGATTATTCAAGCACCTTATAATATCCAATGATGAAAACTGCGAGGGTATGAATTTTCTCCGCCAAATCTAAATTATGGCAACATTGACCCCTCGATTAAATACGGTGTACAAAATTGTACTTCTAGGCAGCAAAAATTGAAATGAACGTCCTTAATACTCTTATCATCTTTCACCTCATCTTGTTTTAATTGCCCAATCTCATCAGCATCACTTTGATACCATCAATGCAGAGGCGAAGCCAAATAAAATCTTTGGTGGGGTAAAGAAGTGCTTTATGCCGACAAAAAAGGGCGTGTCTAACTTTTGAAGGTTGTGGTCAAAAGATAAACACTCTTATATACTGACAGAAAAGTTAATACCTTACAATTGTTGAAAAAGGTTCCAGGTGAGTACAAAAATAGCTTCTTTTGCCTGGCAAAAAATCCTTAATGTGACAAATTGTTGGGGGGGGGGTACTGCACATCACTGTCATTGATATAAGACTGTTTTCAAATTGAGACCCACTTTTACAGAGAAAGAAAGACAACTTTTAGTTCCCTCCCAAAAGACTAAAAGACAAGACCAGATAAAAACATTTTTACATATTGTTATTTGACTGTCGGCCATAACCATATTTACTTTACACTTTGGTTTTCGACACCAGCTTAACAAAGGCCCTTATTTTAACCATGTTACCCCGCATATAATATAAGGCCATACTGTATAAAAATCCATGGGCTTATATCTGGGCAAAGGCCAACTGAGCCTTTAAGCAAAAGACTTCTCACTTCAGGTTAAGAATGTATAAAAGATAAAGGATACCTTATAAAAGATTAAATAACTTGTTATCTTTAAAATATATTTGACTATAACTTCTGCTTTTTTAAGATGCATGGGAACGTTTTGATTGTTAATACTTTAAGCTACATAGTTATATTATGTTAACATTAAATTCGTAAATTAACTTTATCCAACAATAAGTCACAATTTTCTAAGGATACCCTTTATGGGCCTGCAATCAGTCCACCAAGGTCTAAAGCATCAACCAAGGTGAAATATTTCATTTTCCAGTATCAATAAATGAATGACATTGATCCTGGGGGAGGGGTTTAGAAGAGAGGGTGTTAAGACCAAGCTTGTTAATTTAAGTTTTGAAGAAAGGTTATAAAGGGTAGAGTGTTCCAAAGTTGACAAGATCAAGAAGGAAGGATGAGTTGTCGGACAGGATTCCTGATATTGACAAAGAGCTTTGAAAAGGGTGAACATCAGAAGAGTATCATGTATTAAATAATACATATCTCAGGGACCTGGGGTCATATCTCTGTTCTCCAGAGAGGAATGTCCGTAGTAAATCTGTAATAACTTCAGAGATTTGCAACACAGCATAAATGAGAAAGAGATTGAAGAAACTTTGTGAGGTTGCAGCTGCTGATGAGGCAAATGGCTTTGGAATGGATATTTCCAGCTCAATGAAAGCATTATTCAAAGAAACAACAGATATGAGACTTGTTAAAATTGTTAAAAATTGTGATTGTGAGAAGAATCCACATGCACTGGAGAGGAACCCCAGATTTAGAGATGAATAATAAGCAATAGAAGAAATGTGAGATTTCCAGTTAAGGTTGGATGATACAGAACATGTTTGGATGCTTTTGATGCCCTATGAAGAGCCAAAATAGCCCTTTGTGTTTTTAGTTGTTTTAAATCTGGTTCCCATATGTAGCTTAAGAACACTGAGAAGCTATGCTCAATGTGACCATTCCTCTTGATTTCTTTGCCTGGAAAAACAGAGAGCTGAGAACTTACCAAACTTAACGGTTACCGTAAACGTTTTCTGGGTGAAACCATCCATTTTACACATTCTTTCTTCACCATGTAATAGCAAAAATTTCAAGGTGCACAATGATACAATGCAATGTTTGAAACTAACAGGAGTTTTGAAAGTGGAAAAAAATCAAATGTAAATTAAGGTTCCTGTAAATTTCTTCAGCAAAGATTTAGTTGCGGTCTGAAAATCACTTGACCTGTTCAGCTGATAATCCTTGCTATGCAGTTGTGGCCAAATGTCTCATTTACAATAACTTAAATACACTGGATTGACACATTCATGTATCTCATGTAGGGCTGTCTGGTGATTCAAAGAGACCTATTGATATTTAGGCTTCAAATGACTTGAACTAGATTACACTGTGGTTTAGAAGTCTAAACACAGTCAGGAAAAAGCTACTTTGTACCCATGCAACCAATTGAATGGCTTGAAAATTTGCACACGGCCAGGACAGATGTGGGTAGCAAAGCATGCCTTAAAATTTTGTATTTTGCTATGGTTAGTCTTTTATAGCCAACTTCAACTGTAGGAGGGAAGAAAATTGCTTACAAATTTTTGACAGAATATAGTTTTAAGGGGAGGAGCAACTTGAAAAATTTGACACACTTTGGTTGCCTAGGATCTGCACTTCCTGCTGTATTAGATTTGGCTACCTCAACGCAAGGGTACAGAATAGCTTTTGAAGTCACCAATAAATTTGCCAGGAAAGTATCATTTTCCAATATTTGCCAATTATTTTGATATGATTGGAATCATCAAATTCTTGTGCATTGAATGATGCATAGTTTCATTCGATACCATCAATAGTTTGGCTTTTAGAAAGAGAAAACCAAACATAGTGTCAAAAACGTTTGTGACAACCTTAAGTTAAAGTTTGACCATGGCAGTGACTCAAGATAAAGACCTTAGATCCATAGTTCATGATTGTAACCTTGAGCAATCCAATAAATACTTTCAACATTTGTCAATGATAACTATCCTTGCTACAGTTTTATAAGAACCTGAGTTTTGAGAACCTGTTAGGCTAAAATTTTTAACTTAGGCCTTCTCAACAAAGAACCTTTTCAAGCTAAAAATTCAAGTTAGGTTTTTACCAGTGGAGCTGCTGTAAAGCTTTCTGCGTGGAAACTGTTGAATAAAGTATCACTATCTGCTTATATCTATATCAATTAACTTGGTGAAACAATTTTTCTTTGAAGCCAAAGTACAATACTGTGTATATTGTTTCCATCATTTCAATAAATCCTCTTAATATTCAGCATTTGTACAAGATTTCAATTTCTATTTATTCCAAGATTTCCACATATAAACCTTGTCTTTTAATTGATATTTCAAAGATTTTGCCATGAGTTTGCTGGAGTATATATTTGTTTTTGAAGTCTGTACTGTCTTTATGTATAATATTACTGCATGAAATGAAATTTATGATTTTATCATATAAATATAAGAAGCTATTTTAAGAACCTTGGTAGCCTAAATTCACTTAAAAAACCATTCATGTAAGAATCTGTTAAGAGTAATTGAAAAAAAACCAGGTTCTTATACACTAGTTTTTACTTTAGTGCAATTTTGTGCTAATTAGAATTAAGTGCAATGTCTTTGGTGCTCATATTTCAATTCACAGGTCTCTCTTAATAGCTGCTCAGGAAATACAAAACAGTTGCAATCCTATCTTGTTACACTTCTTTCATAATTTTTTAAAAAACAACTTTTTCAAAAATGCTTGTATTTGAATATTAAGCTGTAAATTTTATCTTTTTGACTTGAACAGAATTTAGGCATATACATATAATACACTAAGGTATCAAAAGTATTGCACCACCTCGAAGGAGGAGAAATGGCACATGAATGATCAAAAGCTATTGATATGCAAATTAATTCTGTTTTTAGAGGGCCAATGGCAATTGGTCGAAAGCCAAACAACCACCAATCAAAACTTCAATCTTTTTAGAGCATTTATTTGAAAAATAACAGAAGCAAACGTCCTTTAACGGTTTCAAATTTCAATATTTTGACGGGAAGCCGCAAACTTTTGAAACCGCAAAAAGCCTCCTTGAAATGGATCCACATTTTTGGTCAACGTATTCTTGTGGAATTTCGCAATAGGCCTGGAAAATTCTTACAATTAATGATTCTCTGGCTTTTGGACGACCATTTGGATCACAGTTTGTAACATTTTTCATTTGAAGTCAAACTTTTTTAGCGATGTTAAAGATTGGACTTGATTCTGGCTATGCCAAAACTTTAATTTCTTTTGTATGGAAATAAATATTTGTAAAAATGGTTTCCGTTTACTCAGGTAGCTTTTTCTTTTGTATTTGTGCAAAACACTCATTATATTTTCTGTGGACGAATTTTGAGCTGCAAAACCTTGCGCAGTGTTGAGTTTCATGCCTTTTACTGCCCCTTGGTGCTGTACGCAGTGAAATAAAACCGACAAATTCTTTCCCCTTTAACATCAAATTTATTTTGGTCGACAACTTTTCGTTTTCTTTACTACTGTAACATTCTCGAGAAATCTTTTTTGATTTACCGCAGCTGTTTTGTAGCTGCATTTAACTTGGTCAACATTTTTTTTAAAATTAAAGACCACTTCCCCGTAAATGTTTTATAGCGACTCGCCTCTCATCTGACGATTTTGTTTCCTCAGGCATGGTCTACATTTTTTCAAACAATGATGTTTTTCCGTAAAATTTACATTTCTAACTAGGTTTTCTATGGCGTCAGCAAAATTTGCAAACTTTTCCCGCCGAAATTTGATATAAAATATGCCTATTCCACCCAATTCATACATTCAAATGTTTTGCATTGTAAAAAAGTCAACAAAAAGTGCCGCCATTTTGAGCAGGGTGGTGCAATACTTTTGATACCCTAGTGTATATGTGTGCTATCATTATATACATCCAATCTGAAAAATGAGGGAAATAATTTACAGCTGGTCAAGTAAAAAAATAGCTGCAAAAACACAATCTGTAGAACACCAGATTATAACATTTTTGAACTTTTTAAACTATTTTTAAATGTCTTGAACATTAATTAATTGCCTATCATTCAAGTAATTTTTGTTTTACATTTCTTTGATGATGAAGAAGAATAAAATGATGTCGTAAAGAAAATCAAAGCTAAGCTAATATTAAAATGTAAACTGAAGAAGTGCTACTTCACCTATAACCTTTGCACTGAGATAGTGGATAGACTGGGTGCTTGCAATTATTTTAATCTCCTTTCTTTATGCAATATTAACAGTTATTTGAAGTTGACTTTTCAATAACTGACTTTATGTGGATTATCGAAATTGAAGAATGCGTCGGTGGTACAACTTCTTTCCTTAACCCCCATGATAACCTCGGGCCACCATAACATCATTTTAAACGATCACATGACAGCCTCAACTAAATATTTTTCTTACACACCTTGATGTGATGCAAAACGTCCCTTCGTTTTACACACTTTCAAGCCAGGGCCATTAGCGAGACTACCTGGTGGCAGCAAAAGAATTTGAATAGATACCGCCACGCTTCGTTGGGCAGTCTGTTTTCAATTCACAACCGGTCAATCCATGCAAAAGTACAGTCGTCAAACATTGCACTGCAACTTCCAAGTTCTTAGGCTCATATTACAGCGATGATTGTAAGGTCGTGCCACCTCTCAGATGAAGTTAATTTTTCATAACATGAGTCCTTTTGAGTTGTAATATTGAAAATGTGTTCGAATTTTTCAGGGGTGTGCCTCTGATAGCATTGTCGGTGGGGCAGTATTTTTAGATACCCCGTGAGGACGCATTCCAAACAGAATGCATCGCAACATTAGGCAATGCAAACGCTAACCACAATCTGAACTCGGATAACTTTAGAGTTAATTTTTCCGACGAAATAATGAGTCAACTTTCAAAAATCACACATTGAGTCAAGCTTCACACGAGCACGCGAGGAAACCCTTCTTTGCTTTAGCTGCATAAAAAGAAGAACCAAATTTTGCAATTACTATCATAATCTTAAACATGAATATAATATTAAAATACCTGAAAATATATCTGATCAGCTTTAGTTCCTCCTACTGTCATTCAATCCATTTGAAGCAGAAACACTCCGAATGAACTTGTCTACGAATGTACCTGTCTACGTGTGCACTCGCTTCGTCCCGACTGATCTCGGTTGGTCAATAACAATACCATTATAAGCTAGAACTGGAAACGAGATTGAGGGGAACGGGGGTTGCTCAACACACCTGGGGTTTTCTTGTACCCCAGAGGCATTCGTTAGCTGGGTGACCAAACCTCTGCATGGCAATACACTTGGTTTGAAACAATCGGAATAGTATACCCTTGGGACGCAACTCGATTTGCAATGCAAATGCAATGATTCTTTTGCTGTCACTCTGGGACAAAACTGGGGCACAACTGGAAACTCTATCATCAGTAAACCATGGGGTGAAATGCTGAGGGGATCTTGTGAGCTCAGCCAGCTTTTGACACCAAAATCTGGCAAGATTTTGCTTCTTTATTTTGTTTTTGCGGCACTATTCGAGCTTGATTAAATTAAATTTAATCGCGTATAATATGTGACAGGGTACGACTATTTTTGGTACCCTTTGGGCTTTTGGTTGTGGCACAGATAGCACGATTGTGGAAATTGTCCTCATTGTAGCAGTGCTCGATTAATCATTGCATTGTGACTTTGATAAGGCAAAAGTAACAAGTGTGTAAGTCTGCATTGGCTTCCAGCATGTAAAGGGCATATGAAGCGAAAATGATTTGATTGGTACATATTTTCTAGATGTCGTTTTCCGTTTTCTTTCTCCGCTTTCGTCTTCTCGAGATTAAGTTTCTGAAAGCCCCAAAAACGGACCTGCGAAAGTGATTTCATTGGAACGTGGCAAGATCACCGCTGTGACGTAATAGGTTTGTCACAACCCTTCGATAGTTTCTGGAACTACAGAAAGAGACGTTTGCAAAAAATATCGTGTAAAACACAATAAAAGCATAAACGTTGGGAAAATAAATAATTTGATACGCTGGTGTGGACCCCAAGCCGCAAATGTCCCCTTCTGCTCAGTGGCGGATTAACACAAACTAAGGCCTGGACTGACTTCTGCCAAGAACATTAATATTTCTGTATATTATGATAAATTCAAAGCCATTAACGTATATTGCAAAAACTTGAAGCAACGAGTTCAGATGTAAGACAATTACAAAAATGTCAAACAATAGGTTTGCCTTATATCAACTTTTTTCTCGATTTTTAAAACTGCAAAGTCAGAAATAATGTCATCCATCCAAAGCACGTCCATTAAACCATGCTCGATGCTCAGAAGGGACAGGCTACCCAATCGAGTCTGGCCTATTGTTGATGGCAAGTGATTCTTTATGCATTTCAAAGCACTTTAAGACGTCTTGCCGCTGCATTTGGTCATCAAGAGACAAATATTTTCAACATGTTTACCACATTTTGGAATAGGAAACATAGTTTTTTGATAAATTTTCTAAAAAGTTCTGGCACACAAAGCCATGCAAAGTCAGATGTTTTAGCGGTACTTTAGAAGTGGCAAAACTCTAAAATGTCTCTCGAGCATAATCCATAACTTGCAAGCTTTTGATAATGGTTAAGCGGAAAATAAACAGTCACCCCTGTCAGGCTGCGACTGAAGTCGTGGGATATCAGCAAATGCTTGTTCAATCTTACTATGACAAAAATTTAGAATATGAAACACAACAAAGAATGGATGAAAAGAGAATACTTCTTCTGCTAGAAACTTAACAATTATTCACTGCAATATACATAAATAATTAAATAAAGAAAACAGAAATGGCATGATGATCTGCAAATTCATTTTATATGAGTAAGTTCTAACTCCAAACACTAACAAATTGCTACTAAATTGTTAAAAATACATTCTTTTAAATCTCCCATTACAAAAATTAAGCAAATCATTTTGAAGTTGTTTGAGTGCCATCATGTCAATAGAATTATGATCAATTACAGTCTGGAATGTTACTAGGAAAGTAAAAAACATATTAATAAAAAAGCAAAAATAATCCCTTGCCCAACTTAGAGGTAATTCTTTAATAAAACAAGAATTACACAAATGAACATGAATTTGATTATGAAAGTGTTTTTAGAAGGAATTCAAGAATGATATACAGGCAAAGGGGTTCAACAGCAGAATATCATTTTTGAAATATTACAGTTCACTACCATTTCCTTTGAACTTACTATCTAAGCTACAAATGTAGAACTTAATTAGGGCACAAAAACCAATGACCCTTCTACAGACCTACACTGATTTAATATGCCAGTTTTATAAACAAAAAGTTCTAGTTATGGCATGCTGGCAGTCTATGCTTGATATGGCAAGCAGTAGTCATTGGAAAACATACTTTTAATCAAATCCAACTCAAATAATAATATCCATGTTTTCTACACTCCAGCAAATAAGTTACAAATATTCCATCTGAAATAACCGTTCCTACAAAATGAGCTTAAGTCAATAGGGCATTTGGAAGAAAGGCTAACGTTTCCAGTCTAGCCAAACATTTCTTGTGAAGCATAGGTCATATACAGGAAGCCATCTTCATCTTTTTCCTCTTTATAAACCTCAGCTAATGTTGTCGACATTGAGGCTAAGCTCTTGTTATTAACAATCAGATAGAAAGCTTGAGTTGGAGCCAATGACATGCGGTTCCTACAATAACAAACAAACACATGAGGCAAAAGAATTTCATGTGTACTTATTCAGTTTACAGAGCATGTATAAATATACTATAAATATTTAAACAGTCAATATTTAAACATATATTTTATGGTTGAGATCCCAACCAGAGAAGGTTGTGATCGTAATGTTCCCAAAGTAGTTATGAAAAAGCAGATGACAAAGCACTGAACAAGAGCTTCAGAGACTAGATGACTGTTTTTCCCCCAATTAAAAGAATAAAAAAGTTCTAGAGCAATCAAACTTGGTTTCTTGGTTTCAATCAAATCATAACATAACTTGGTTTCTTTATATGAAGAAGTGATGTTAAAAAATATTGAAATAACACATTTAATAACCAAGAAGTGGGCTGCTGACAACTCTCAAGTAAAAATAATTGAAAAGAGCTTTCCAAGTTGACATTTTCAAATGCTTGTTGGTATTATTCAAGTTTTAACAATGAACAATACTTAACTCTAGTGCCATGCCTTCTATACTAAACAAAAGTATTTTTTTAACCATATATTTCTGCTATTTAAAATTTACTATTTTATCAAAGAAAAATGTCCGTTTTACAGTTTCACTCATATTGTCATTGTTGATCTAAAGATTCTCCCAAGTAGGAAAATGCAATAACCAGCAGCTTGGGTTAGCATGTGCTTGCTGACATTGACAACTATGGACACTAAAAGCTCTTGCGCAAAGTCTTAGTTTATCAAGATTAACTGATGTAGAAACATGTTGAAATTTTCATATGAAAACTGTTTGTTGGATATGATGATAACTCTAAATTTTTAGAAAAGAAAAAGTCAAACAACTGATCAACGAGTAAAGTTGAAAAAATCAACTATATATAAAGTCAACTTTCACATATTTCATATAAAACAGTCTGCCATTGACTTCAGTTTGTAAATTTGCAGTTCCATTTCTTTGCATATTATTCTTTGTGGGACTTTAAAGAAATTTGTCAAAAGAATAGGACATAAAATATTTGGAGCATGAGGAGAATTTCTCTTTTGGAGAGTTGCTTTATGAACAAGCTGGGATAAAAACAATTTCTAAACGGAAGAGTAGTGTAGCAGACCACCAATGCTACAATTTATTGCTCAAAATTGCAATCTACAACACTCCATTGATTTTCTATGACTTATTATCAACAGCTAACCAGAATACCATCCACATCCACAAGCCAAATTTATGTCACAAGAATAAATAGCACATATTTTTCATTTGAACAAAATGTCACACATAAATGTTTCATAAATTGGTGGTAAATTACAACTTCAAACTTCCAACACTCACCTAATAATAGTCACAAACTGACTCATAGTGAGTTCTTGTGGTACCAAAAACTTTGTTTTGTCCAATAGTGGAAGAGTTTTTTCTTTGTGGTATCTTTCAACAATTACCTAAAGAATTAAAAGTTTAAAGATCAGAAAAAGTTAAGAAAATTCTTTTCAAAGTCAACCAACATTGATTATCACAAGTCTACAACTCTGCTGCTATTCTCCATGCCAGGTTTATCATCAGTTTTGAGCTTTGGCTATCTTTAGACTTTCTTGAAAATGGACTTCAGATTTGAAATCTTCATCTTCAAGTTAGTTTTTACTAAACATTTCGTGTTGTTTTGGCCATTTGGCCACAAGTTACTTTGCTTTGAATAGTTTAATATTTCTTTAGATTTGACCATAAAAATTTCATAAATTTAGATTTGCTGTAGAAAAAAATTTTTTACTACAGCAAAAAAAGACCAGAACAGAGAATTTTTGTATTTAAAATAAAAGTACCAAAGAGACCAGCCCCAGTAGCTATGAAATACATAAATTATAAAAAACAAGTCAGATGAAAGCTGCTATGGTCAATACATAAAATATTATCTCTCTTAGTGGGCACATAATAAAGCATTTGGTTGGGAGGACAATTATTCAGATTGGGGCGCATTAGGAATGTTGGTGCCTTATCAAAAATTTACAGTACTGATCTACTCTAAGTACATATTTGAATATTAATTATTCATTTTGTGACTGGCATTTTGAGAACATAAAATTACATTTCAACCAATGACTTCTGGACAATTCTGGGTCATTTAAGATCATTTTGTTTGCATAAATAATTGAAATGAAATAATCATTCATAGCTAAGTGACCATCTGCATCTGAATCCTGGGTTGATAGTCTGGACCACAGGGGCCATCATTTCTATTTACATGTATCATGCAGGCACATTATTATGAAATCCACTTATCAATTCAGCTTATAATTTTCACTGAACCATCAGAATGACATAAATGTTTGAACTCTAAGATAGCACACTATGTTGTTTAAATTGTATGTGCAACACTTTGTTTAAAATATTGAGTTTTCTCTTCGTCAAACGTCAACTCGTAGTAATGGCACGTATTTAAAAATGCGATGTTAACTTAAAATCTAGAGACATATTCCAGGAAAAAAATTGATTGTGAAAAAGTAACATTAGGTTTGTAAACGTTTAATTGCAGTCTATTTATAAGTATGAGAACATGATCGGTTCGTCTGCTACTGTATTGTGGAAATGTGAAAATAGATGACAAGTATATAAAATAATGCAAAGTGGAGCAGTCACCGCGTAGCTAGAGGTTGTTGACTTCACCAGGACTGGTCCCTTCAATAACCCCATCTAATCAATGACCTAAGCCACTGAAATTGAATGATGCGGACCGCTTTAGCTTTTTCTAGATTAAATCTAGCCATGCCTGCTACTATGCCGCTCTCGTTAACAGTCACACCCAAAAAAGCTGTGGCCTAACTTTACTATTACCCACAAGAGTGAACTAATTTCGAAGCAATTAAGTGTTCCGGCAAGATATTAGAAAATGAACTTAGCATTTAAAAAAAAGCGGTATAACATAAAAATTAGAGTATTTTTTCTGACGCCGATCTTGGTACAATCGACAGCAAAGGAAATGGAAATCTTGGTGAAGAAAAACAGAAGGTAGACCACAAGAAAATATTTCAACTTTATCAGCCCCTTACCGGAATTTTAGATGGGAATTTAGCTCTGATGCCAGCAACTTCATCTCTTCTGCTTGCTGAAATAAAGGAAAACGTGATGATGGAAAGTGCTAGCCAAACAAATGGGAATGAACGAAGAGCACAAATCTATAGACAATCGACACGTTGGGTCGAAGACAACAGGCTAGGCCCCCATATCATGTTAAATACAAATTAAAAAGATGGCGTATATCTAATATTTATCTTAAAATGAATCTTACCAAAGCTTTTCCTTTGCTTGAAGGGCTTGCCAGCTTTAGCTTCACTATCACCCATCTTTACTTAGTAATGTTCACCAACGATGTTTTTGTGACCTGGTGATAAGTGAAGAGCAGACAGTCAAAGTAACTTCATCTCTGACCAACTTTAAGTACAGTACCGAAATTAGCGGTCTTGCATGACGATTGGTTGTGCTCACAATTTTAAGAGTTTTGATTCGTTGAAAATTTATTACGTAAATCTTTTTAACCTGCTTTTAAATGAACGAAGGCGTGGTTGTAGGATAAAGACCGATAAATGTTTTTCGTTCCTTCTTTTGTTCTAAATTACACATCCCATGGCAACTTTGAGCGCTGATAAGGGTCATTAGACCATGGTCTTAAAGAACAATTCTTGTGATTAATATGAACACTCGTTGTCATCATGAAGTAAGTTCATGAAATTTTTCATCAAGCGGTTGGTTGCCTTCGCGAGATTTGGCAATCTACTTTATTTTGGTTTTTTGCTTTGCCATTCCTCTGCGCTTTCGCCATGTTGTTCTAAGGTAGAGAATGTTCGCGATACAAAAAATCTCAATGATCGGGAAAATAGGTCAGATCAGAAATGCGGGAAAGAGTGACAACAGACTGAATAGTATGTTTTCCTAAAACTGGGAACAATTAAACAATAAATTTATTCGTGACCACAACTATATATTACGACCGTTAAAAATGCTTTTTATATTGATGATAACTTATCTTCTTAATTTTAAAATGAGTTTGACAATGTCTTTAGTTATACCGCTGTAGAGTGCAGTATTCTTCAATTCTACAAGGGTGTTTATATAGAGCATTTCTTCAAACATCGCTCCATCAATGCTTCATTTTGGTTGATACAAGCAATATCTTGATACAAGTAATATAATATAAGTCTTTTTACTGACTGATTTTTTGTACAGCTTGCTCACTGAAAACTTTTCAAATTAAGGAAATACGGCAAAGCAGATTGTGATACCAACATAGGCGTAGACTTGCATTTTTTCAGGGGGGGGGGGCTCAAAAAATTAATGACAATTCCTAATGGCAGCTGCTGATGTCACAGGATAGAAAGTGGATTAGCTAAGGACTTAAAGGTGATTTTTCCGTGCATTTTTCATTATCGAGGAAAAAGAAACACACGAATGAAATGATTGAAAGTTTATTTTTAAATCATAATCAGTTTTTTTAGGTTGAGATCATCAGTTCTATTTAGGCACCCAAAAAGTTTATGCGTGGAACCAATAATACACTAGGGTATCAAAAGTATTGCACCACCTTTTTCAAAATGGCGGCACTTTTTATAAACTTTTCGGCAATACAAAACATTTAAATGCAGAAATTGGGTAAAATAGGCCTATTTTGTAGCAAATTTCAGCGGGAAAAAGTTGCAAATTTTGCTGACACCATAGAAAACTTAGTTAGAAATGTTAATAAATTTTAAGACCTTTTGTTTGTAAAAATGTAGACCATGCCTAAGGAAGCAAAATTTTCAAATGAAGGGAGAGTCGCTATAAAATATTTACAGGGAAGTGCTTTTCAGTTTTCAAAAAAAAGGTTGACCAAGATAGATCCAGCCACACAACAGCGGCGGGAAATTAAAAAAGATTCCTCGAGAGTGTTACAGTAATAAAGAAACCAAGAAGTGGGCGACCAAAAATAAATTGATGTTAGAGGGGAACGAATTTGTCGGTTATATTTCACTGCGTTCGCATCTATAAGACATGAAACTCGAAACTGGACAAGGTATAACAAACTAATATAAAAATTGGTAAAGCACTTCCTTATTTTCCAGGGGGGCTCAGCCCTCCTCCCCCCCCCACCCCCCTCGGTTTTCGTCAGGAGGGGCTGAAGCCCCAGAGCCCCCCTTAGCTGTCATAAACTGATTTGGCCAGAATTCAGCCGCATTTTGCAAAAAAGCAACGAAAACGCAAAGGAAACAAAACTTTTTGCACAGGTAATATTCAAAATCTTTTGAAATAATTTCAAAATTGCAAATGACAAATGATGAAATAAAATGAAAGATAACAGACAGTTTAAGATAAAAGCAAGTGAAAACTTTTGTAACCTTCAAAGCAAATTTTGATTACGCTATCACTCCCCACAATCAGCAAAAATTTAGCTTTTTTGTATCTGCGTCTAGCTGGCTGAATTTGGGTGCCAACCATAAAATATTTGGCTTCCAGCCATTCCAAACATCTTGCAAAATCCTGAAAGGGGAAGTCACAATTAGCTCCCAAAATGAAACCACAGATGCTTGTGTAAAGTGTTTGCATTTGGTAACGATAGACAACGGATCAATGGAAACAATGATTTTTAAAAAAATATCAAAATTATGCTAGGGTTATGCTGTATGACGATTTTTGGTCAATATTATGCTAAAAGCGTGATATCACACTGATGGTCCGCTTACTACAATGGACCGCATAGATCTGTTAGCCTACTACATTATACTTTGCTACATGGTACATAAATTAATTCCTTGACTGCGCCAACCTTCCCCTTGTCGAGTATATTTACCACCGCTAGCATTTCGTCCATATTTCTAATTATATATACTGCTACCAGGGATTAATTTTTTGGACGAACACGGCTAAGCGCAATGTGACGACAAGTCCGTAATTTCGACTATAACCCTAAATAATATACACAGGGCCGTCGCGAGGCAAGCCTTGTTGGGGGAGGGGGGGGAGGACAAATTTACCTGACTGAAAAATTATTGCCTGAAAATCTTTAGTTACTGTTACAAATCTCTACAATACATTTTGTCAATCTAACTCTGTATATTATTCGCAACTTTTATTTTTATATGATAATAACGTTTTAATCTGTATATCGGGACGGGCAAAGAATATGGTTACTGCCCGAAGTGGCACCATGGTTATGGCCAAAGGACCAGAAACTTTTCGAATTTTTATGCTTCCAGTTCTTTGGAAAATGCAATCTTTTAAGCACATTTCACTAAAGCAGTCCTCTTAATCCTGTTGAAAATTCTTTTTTGCAAACAAATTGAACAACAGATAAAAACAACTGGTACAATTTCGCTGTGGTCTTGAAAAATACCATGTTGTCAGTTACTTCTAAAGCTAGGTAACAAGAAGCACTGGCTGTCAAATGAGATCCCTCTTTCCATCTTAGCATGCCTTTTGAATGTTAAAATAAATCTGGAGCTCATAGTGAATTGCAGTTGACGCTCCTACCGAGAAACATCAGGGGAAATGGACACAAGAAACAAATTTACCTAAAGAGTGCCTGGATTTTTGGATTTAGTGCCAACAAGAAATATTCAAGTTTTCAAATCGTTATCTTGTTTACCTTCGTTCATATCAAGGTATATCATATTTAACCAACGGAGCAACTGCCTTTGCTTGATCCTTCATTGATTTTATGACAGGAAGGTCTCTGAAGTACCTACAGCGTTTCTTCCACCGAGCGAATTTTACCTGAAATTTCATATACCTGAAATTCTAGAAATATATTTTAAGAATTTAATAATTTTGATCTCATAACCTGAAAGAGCATCATGAAATACCTCTAATTTTGCAAGTTCAGTTTAAAGCATTACGAATTGGCTGAGATATGGCCACATGAGAACAAGCTCTTGCCCCATCATCAAACCTCTGTAATTTGGTCTTGGTTATAACTTTATGAACCAGGCCAGAATAACAGTAATCCGTTAGCAACTTGAAATCTTTCATTGGCCATATCTCGCCGAATTTGGATTATATATATCTAACTAATTTTGCACATTGAGAGGTATTTTATGCCGTTCTTTCAGATTATGTGGCCAAATTTAAGAAATTCTAAAAATAGATTTTTGATGACGTCACACTTTGGTACTCTTTTGAGGGGTGATTGGGGGGTGTGACACTTGGTACTTTGGTACTAGTGCCCAGGATGCTGTTGGGTATCGCAGTATAACCTTACAACTATATGCATGTTGTTCAACTGAAACTTTGCTTTTGAATGACAGTTTGTATACACTTTTTTATAAGAACCAGTAAATTTAAGTTTAGGCTGACTGTTCTTTTTTTTCGAAAATCTGAAGCTGGATTGTTCTTAAATTTTTCTTATATTAAGAGGGTGTAAGCAGTAGGATTGCTAGCTTTTTTGCTCTAGGTGGTGTTCAGGTCTCGTTTGCCAACAAAGTGAGTGAGACAACCTTCATGTGGTGACAAGTTTGAATATATGCCGAAGAAGCACCCACTTATGGCCAAAATCGTTATTTTTTAGATAAAACGTTGTTCCAAATTGCATTTTGCAGAAGCACAGTCTTAGCTTGTTCTTAATTTGTTCTTAAATTTTGACCAATTTTGATGCTCGTGTTCTTATAAAATTGTTCTTATGAAATGAAAAGAGTGTATTTGAGATTTGTCTTTCCAATGTTTTCGTTGTTTTTGGTCGTTTCTGCGACAGCATGGAATATATCAGCGATCATAACCACGAAAAATTTGGTGTTCGAGCTGCATGAAAAGTCGAGGCACGCCATGCAAACCAGCAAGCGCCGTTAATTTCACTAAAAATCGTTCACCGTTGATTTTTCCATTACCGCCCAATTTGATGAAGATTACCGAATTATCTACAAAGAAAAGACAATTACCGCAATACCGCCAAACCCAACCCCTCCACCCCCTTAATAGAGCTTTTACTGTATGTACATACAGCAGCGTAACAGACTAAAGTTGCTTTTAGTGAAAAATTAAGGACCTTCGACTTTAGGGATCCCCGTCATTAAATTTAGTTGAAGGTTAACTCATTTCCTCCCCTTCTAAATAAAAAATAGGGACTCTCCTTTGTTCGTAGGCTACTCTGGCGTGAAGAGAGACATTAAGGTGGCATCAGCCCATTAAGGTGTACCTAACCCGTTGTTACCTTTCAGTGAAAAAGCACTTCGAAAGGCTGAAGTTGTTTATAGGCTATAAGAGTATGCAGTTGAAAATGGCTTCAACTTCATCAACGTCCTTAAATGCAGTTATTTCGATGTATCAAAATCTGATAAAAGAATGGAATAAAAAACCTCCAAACCTGGAGGCAATAGGAAAATTATTGACAAGTATGAAGGTTAGTATAATGTCGTCTGATCTGAATTAGGCCTACAGATGATGCAAAACAGATTTAACAGCCAACTTCAAAGTCGTGTAATCAAGCTATGTAATCAGGCTTATGGGCCACTATGGTTTATTTTCTTGTATGGTTTAAGATATAGCCTTTCTAAGGGAAATTAGCTACGGAGCCGAACCTTTGTTGGTACAAAGAGGAGGGCAATAGCCTATTCTACTGTTTTAAACAATGGAAAAGTCACTGGCCTGCAGGGACAATTGCCTCCTAGTTTGTATGTTAAAAAAGGCTCTGGTTTAGGAACATCCAAAGTGAAAAGGACATATTTTAGCAATGTTTTTTTGAAGGAAACTGACAAGATTGGACTTAACTTAAAAGCACACCCTTTAACAAGAATCTAGAACCCCATCTAAAATTGTTGTTGTTGATTTCCAAAGTGTGTGTTTGAAAATTGTCTGTTTTGTACAATCCTGTCCTGAAGTGATTCCAATCGTCAGGAAAAACTGATGGCCCGATTCGGTCTTTTACCATGCCAGACTTTGTTTCTTGCATGGGCTTTGTAACTTACTTTGTTTCTTGCATGGGCTTACTTTGATTCTAGAGTCCTTTGAGTCCAGAAAGAAAAAGGAAAGAATCAAAATTTGTTTCATCCAATCCAGGCTCAAAAGATAGATGTACGGGCATAGGATTATACCTAAAGATAAAGCTACTGTATGTGTAAAACTTGGTACCACAACCCACCGAAAAAAGAAGATGGCAATCTGAGGATAGAAACATCAGAAAATACCTAACTTAATACATTTTTCAGCCTTGCATATTTCTCAACAGCTCACAAAAGTTGCAAGCTGTCATAAACATATCACTTCAAACAAATGTGAATAGATCAAATGCAAATCCTGGTAAAACCAGAACCAATGCGAATCCATCTCACAGCCTTAGCAATAAAATTATTCAAGCATGAAAACTTGTTACAACTTGAATATTAAATCTAAAAATATTTTAAAAATTTTGAACTGAATAAGGAAAATGTGATTAACAAAAATAACACCAATTTTATAGGCAAAAATTTGCTACTGAGGAAACATCTCAACTGAAATTTTATTTAAGAAATGAGTGTCTCATTAAAAATTGCCTTTTCAAAAGTGCTTTTGTTTGCTCCAAGTGAAAAGGTATCGATTTTGAGATTGGGAATTTTGGTATGTGATGCTTGTCTGTATATTCTTTGGATCCCTTTCCACATAATTGCCACGTATGTGAGATTGACATATTGTGGTAACTTCAAAAGACACCTTTTTAGCATTTTAAATTATCAAACCAGTTTGTGGCGCCATATATTTTCCATTACTTTCCAAGTATTTGTGATGTTGTATATCTTTCCTATTTTACTCTAAGAAGTATTCTTTCTTTTATTTGTCTTTTCTTTACAGTTAAACACACATTTTTTTGCCACAGATGAGTTAGTTATGATAGCTCATTTTAAAAAGACAAAGAAAGCAAACAAATCTTTGTTAAGTGGTATTTAGTATGAATATAAGGAGGAATCAGTGATAACTTGTTTCTAGATTTTGATGTTGACTACAAACTAGAAAAGTACTTTGAAAATTAAAGCTTTCTCACAATTAAAAATAATTGATTCATTCTTGCACAACAGCTTGCTCTGACTAGTTTCCAATACATGCCAACTTCAGGGTCAAAACCAACATCTCAAGAACTTATCCTAGCAAGTAAGTAAAATTTCAATATTCTCCCAGTCTCTGGAAACATAATGAGAATTGTTCATTATGTTTTTTTCATGTTGTCATTATAAGCAACTTTCTTTATGTATATTGTCTTCTATAAACATGACTAGTACCCTTCATATGAACAACTTTTTCAGTAATTATATACTTAAATTGTGTTTTATTTCTGATTCTTGCTTTTTCTTTAGTTGGTATAAGAAACTACTTTATCAAGCATTGATATATTTTTCCTTTTTTCCTTTTTATTTGACTTACAAATTCATTTTCCAATACACAGGCTATTCAATTTTTTCAATTGTTTGCCCTCATTTTGAATGCATACATTGTATTGCTTTTATTTAATAAGCTATTTGATTTTTCTCATTTTAGGGGATGTTTTAGAGATTGGAGTTCAGTGGAGTGTTCTTGTAAAAGATATACCATCATTTGAGCGATATTTGGCACAGCTCAAGTGCTATTACTATGATTACAGGTTTGATAATTTTTCTTTAATTGTTTTTGCAAAGGTAAGATACCAATCGCTTGAGCACCCTTACCCTTACATCTGTTGCTGTGGAAGATGGTTATAATGATTAGAGAAAATATGAACTTTATATTGACCTTGAGAAGAAAAGTAACAATTTGTTAATGCTTTTATCCTCGCAAACTGTTTCTAATCTATAAGATCATTAGTTTTCACAGATTTATCTTTTCTTATTTCTTATAGTGGTATTCTTCCAGAATCCCCTTACATGTACCAACTCCTAGGTTTGAATTTGATGAGCCTGTTGGCACAGAATCGTCTTGGTGAATTCCATACTGTAAGTTTTCTTACACTTTGTTATGAAAACTGTGGAATGTTTGCTAAAGCAATGTAGAACAATTATCATATAAACTGTATTTTTAATCATATAAAGTCTTATAAAGCTTATAAAGTGCAATATGCACAGGAGCAGATCTTGCAGGAGTTTGGAGTTTTTTCTGGTTTTCAATTAGTGTCTTTGTTCCTGAAGTTTACTTTTGATAACACTCAACCCTTCCTGTGGGCCATAAATTAACAGTAGAGCCATAGTGTATATGCTGAAAGTTGCACAGAAATGCAAGCGCTGCCAATTTGTAGAACATTGTTGACAAAAAAATTCTTGTTTCTCAGGCTGATATATATCCAGGTTTAACTGAATCTGAAATATTCTACACATCAAATTTTTCAAATGGATTAGATCAGTTTGATTAGATTTTGTCTATAATTTTAATCTACAGACTTTTGCAAGTTGATTTTTTATAAAGTCATCCTATGAAGAAACCTAACAGAGCCTAGAAGGGTAATTCTATGTTAAATTGCCCAATGTTAACTGTTAATTGTCTTGTTTGTATTAGTATGATAAATCTTATCAAGTTGTCATGATAAAAGTAATAGTTGGTGATTATTGGCTCTGAAATTAGCTGCTTTATTTTATAGGAACTTGAACTTCTTCCTGCTAAACAAATACAAGAAAGTGTTTACATACGATGTCCTGTTGCCTTAGAGCAGGTGTGTATGCTTCTTGGTTTTTCTCTGATTCAGTTTCTCAGGGTTTGCTTCAATGATATCTCAAATTATTTCATGTGTCATTTCTGCTAGATTCCTAAAATTGTTTGGTTTTGTGTCACTTTCTTTGTACAAAACTTTATTTCGTATAAAAGCAGTTTCATAAGTTCTGTTTCATAAGCAGATTTATCTATGTGCAAATTGTGGATTGTCTGTTTGGGCAGCCAATTTGCAAAAAAGGGTTTTTAATAAAACAAATTGAAACAAAAGAAACGAATTTGAAGAAAAGAATAGTTCCATAAGTCTTTTTATTGCTTAATTTCCAAGGAAATAAGCCAAGGCTTATGGGGCCTCATAAAAAAAATTCCATTTTAAAACTGGAATTAGTCAAACATAGCAAAAGCATACCTTAAAGATAGCAAGATGTTTTAAAAGATTGCAAAAAATGACTGCAAGAAATATTCTGAAATGCTTTTTAAGCTAATCTAAAAGGCGTGATGGCAAAAATTTACTTTCAAACATCCCTAGGGCCTCTGACAACCTCTTGCCGGCCCCTTTCGAGGTACCGCTAGTATAACGATTGTCCCATAAAATTATAGGTACAAAATATCATAATGAATTTTAGTTTATTTTTCAAAAGCTGCTTTATTACTATCACTGAGCCCCCCGCAGCCTCCCACACTTTCAATGTTCTTGGCGCTGCCCCTGATGTAGATCAGTTTGGAAATAGAAATTTGAAACTGTCATCCACAAGCAGTTTTTTCAAAGTGATTGTTGCAACGTAGTACTTTTTTCTGTTTACAAATAATTTTTTTATTTTCAGTTAAAATTGTTAGCATTGCATAAAACAATACAATCATTTGGCTCAAAGCCCTTAGTTATTTATTATTTTCTTCTTCAGTATTTAATGGAAGGAAGCTATCACAAGGTATCTATCTGATTTTGCTTTTGAAGAATAAATTTTATCTGAATACACTTCTTGTTGATTATGAACTTTGGAGTGTGATGACGTAATGACTGACGTAGCTTTGAACGGCACAGTTCTCGTCCTCTTGAAGTGACATGTTAGTGAAGATAAAAAGAATTTTCTGTTAAGGATAACACACTTAACAACTATATTTTAACATGGATTAGAAACGCCATCGAGAGACGATGAAAACAGGACAACATTCGGGTGTATGTAACCATTTTATTTTTTGGTTGTACAGAACTTAAAAGTGGCTTTGAAAGAAGCAAACATTTTACAACATATTGGCTAAAAGCTTTTTCGTCTGACACTCCTCAGAGCATAAAACGTCAGAATAAGTGTCTGAAAGAACACAATGGAAATGTATACCCAGAAGTGGATTCAAATAGGCCAATCAGAAAAACGCAAGCACAAGACCGGTATAGTTGACCAATCAGTGCTGCGTGCCTAAAGAAAAAATACCACTGGAGTCCAGGAGAGAAAACGAACTCTTTCTGTCTACACAATGGAGGTTTTTTCGTTTGTATGTAGATCGATTCCAAAACTGCTAGATAGAAGGACGACCGGGCTCTGCAAATTATCTGAAACATGTCATCATTATAGAGTTTTGCACAATCTGGGTTATCTAAAAGATGTTGACCGATGACAGATGACGTTTTATGCTCTCAGGAGTGTCAGACAAAAAAGCTCTTAGCCAATATCTTGTATAATGTTTGCTTTTTTCAAAGCCATTTTCATTTTATTTTTGTGGAACCTCTTTAACTTGATTTTGTATTTGCTAGGCAAAAGTTGTATGCTCCTCCTGACCATTATTATTATTACTAAGCGCTTAGACTTAAATTTAATTTAAGGTCTGTCTGAAGTTTTATCCAGCAAAGAAGAACGTGACCCTTCCAATCACATTTTATTGTCCGTGGTGAACAAACCGATAGCCTAGCAGCATCGTAAGCAAATGTCCATTATCCAATCAAACATAGCAATACATAACACATGACCTGAAAGCCAATCACATCTTTAAATAATCACATCTTTAAATAGTCTTCAACCCACTTTTCGTAGCATTTCTACATCAGTAATTAGGATGAATGATTAGTTAGGCCTTTTGTTGATTTATGCGTAATTATTACTGAAGACATTTCATTCTATTTGCAGGTGTTTCTTGCTAAAGAAAATGTTCCTGCCGAAGCGTACTACTTCTTTATCAACATTCTCGTGGACACCCTAAGGTCTGATACTTTGATGTATTTTAGTAAATTATCACTTTGGTCCATCCCTAAATGGTTATATGATGCTTAGTGATACCAAACCTTTCTCAAATGACATACAAAAGACTATAGATAACTAGATAACAAGCATCAATGTAGACAGAAGTAAAATTCAATATATAACTATACTATTGATCAAGTCTCTATACTATTGATCAAGTCTTGAGAATGGGTAGTTCTTTGGCTATTTTGTTTCCACATCTTCATCAGTTGTGATTTGTTTACAGAGACGAAGTAGCTGCTTGCATGGAGAAATCATATGAGAACATCACAGTGAAAGAAGCAACTAGAATGCTGTTTTTTCAGAATGATGCAAAGATGAAAGAGTACTCGATCAAGGTAAATTCTGTAAGACTTTTTTAAACTATACAGCTGCTTTTGTGGAGAAAGCCAACTCTATTAAAGAATTTATCTCGAAGCTCAATTAATTTTTTCTTAAAATGCATATAGTTTATCGTTTACACTTCCATACATCCTATAGCCTTCTGTTAACCCCTTTTCAAGCGTGAAACTTGGAGTAGCAACTTACAACCGCCCTATTCTATTCAACAAAAACTTGTACAGCTATGCCTATACGGTATCGAACACTTTATGTCAGATTCTTGTTTAGAATTTCTTTGAAGTAACGTGTAATATAATAAATTGTAGTGGCCTTCTGAAACCACGCTTAATGCTTTCCTCCATTCCACCATTGCTTAGTTTTGTCTTATAAGTATTTCCATGTTGTAGCGTGGCTGGAAGGCTCAAGGTGGCTCGTACCACTTCAAAGCAGATGTACACGATAAACAAGAAATTTCAGCTGGTAAAGTAATCGAACAATGCCTAGGTTATGCCAAAGAGTTAGAAAGAATTGTTTGATAGTGTTATCGTTGTAAATTAGTTGAAGGTTATTTACTATATATTGTTAAAGTGGCATTTCAATTTTTGCTTTTCTTTACGTGAATTTCTCATTAATTATTTGGGTTTAGCGTGATCGTATTTCTACTCGTAAGGCAATGCTACTAACTTGCTGAGGCTATCATTACGAAGATATGTTTGGGCTACACAGGAATCTTTCTAGAGACACTTCTGACCCTCGTATTCAAGAGTTAGCTCAAGCAGTTTTACTTTTCATTAGAAAATTCACAGTTTACTGTGTATGTAGAGCTTATAAATCAGTTGCATCCATTGAATGAACGAAGCAAGTTGATACTGAACCTCCCAATTCTGGACTTACTGCCAGCAGCCTACCAGTGTCTGTTTAAAAAACTGAACTGATTGAAAAGCTTGTTTGGTTAATAAATTATTGTTTTTTTTCGATGTATGTCGACTAGTGCAGGAGCTAGGATCCAGTGTTAGCTTCATTTATGGCTAGCTTTGAGAACTGTGTCGTGTTCAAAGGAATCTAGGGCATTTGAATCAGTTCACATAGTCCAGGCAACTCTGGTGCATCATTTACCAACTTGGTTTTTTTCAATGTACCTTTGTCAAGACATCAAAATGTGTGCTTTTTGAGCAGATTTGCCGTTATCATCCACCATCATAATCGTTGACACTGAGTTACAAGTAGTTTCATTCTATTCTTGTTTTTATTCTGCGTAAAATTTGCAAATGCCTCTTTGCCACACCTGTTGTCTCGTGTTTAGAGTACATATAGGAACACTGGATCTCCTTTTAGATAGCTATTACAGAAGGACTGTGCAGTTGCCGATCATGCATAGTACTTACCACGATGTTTATGACTGTCATATCCTTTTAACCCAACATCGATCATCAAGGGAGGCTGGACGACCCAATCCAACTTTACATGGAAACAAAAAGTAGTTCTGATGAACAAATACATGGCTTGATATAACGTTTGGATACCGCGCTGCATGAAACAACAACTTGATTCAAACACGTCTTGAATAAAATATGCTCAATAAAAGACATCTTCAATCTCTCGACCTACATGGTATGTCCTGCATAAAAGTGGGCATTTGCAACGAGAAAATAGTTTATATCTATAGATGAGTGCTATCATCCAGCATAAGTGCAGTATAATAATCATAACCCAATCAACCAAGCGAAGTAAACCAAAAACATAAACAGATTAGTGTCTCTTTGCAGCGAACAAAAGATAAAATGCCTCAACGGCTCGTAATGTTTAGCCTGTCCGCATAGAGAAGATTTTCTTCTTTATAAAGAACTAGGCAGCTTGACTGTTTTTCAATTTCCTATAGATGTTGCAAAATTGAAAAAATTATAGTCAATGTTCGTATGTGAACAGTATTTGGCACAGAGTAGTTCATCCAAATTCATTTCTTGGGGTATCTTTGTTTACCCTGCGGCATGATCACTGAATTGAAAAATGCTTTTTGAAAAAAATGAATTGTGTAAAAAATAGTTTCTAAATGAACAAATATAATTCTGCGAGCTTCATTCAAAATATTCTCTTACATCTAAGAAACTAGGCAACCTGATATAAAATATTAGTTTCTTTTAAGCAGTGGGTTACTGTGTTCATTGACAAGTAAGAAATAAATCAGATAAAATGTTTCTGGTTAAGAGTAACTGGCAAGTACGCTAACTTCGCCATAAGCATTTAAAAAGGACTTTTGGCCCGAGTTGGTCACAATGTGAAAAAAGCACAAGGTAAGCGCCTTTTTGCGTGTCCATGCTTTTGAATGTCGAACACAGGTGGCCAGGCTGTGTGTAGATAGTACTGTAACAACAGCAACAACTTCTGACCGTCAACACTACATTTCTGTAAGTGCAGGAGTGAAAACTGCAACTGGCTTAGGTTTTGAAATCGACTGTGAAATTCAATATAGCTATGGAAGAAGACATCCTCGATGCTTTAGAAGATCTAGGGTTAGTTTTTGTTCAAGCACAGTTATTTCATCATGTTGCAAAACATTTTCTTGCACTGCAGTCAAGAGCGATCATAAAAAAAGTCATCAAAAAAATGATCACCAGCGATGAGATTTTGCTAAATTTACAGTTAATTCAAAGTTAATTGTTTTATAACCTTAGTTTTTCTTCAATGTTTTTGGTAACTCTTTAGGTCACTAGCACCAAAACTTTATTTCTTTAGTCTGAACATAAATACTCTGCTTAAAATAAAACAGTCTAAAAGGCCTGATGTGAAAAGAATTCTCAGTAAGCATTGCAGTGATAAATGAAGAAAGGTCTAAGCCTTGAAATATGGACTATTTGACTGATAAGATCATGATAAGAATTTAAAAGGACACATTTTGTTCTGGTTCTTGCTTTTACTTCAAGTCTATCTGAAGCCATGCATTTTCATATGACAACTTTCTATATTGTAGCCATATTTACAAATTTTATGTTTCACCAAAACCATGCAATTTAACATGGATGCAAACCCTATTTAAAACATTAAGGTATTTCTAGAACTTGAATTTTTGCTTGATAAGGTACAATGGCTCAGTTCTAAAGGATGGTGAATTGTCACATATTTGTGGTGAAGGTGCAGATGGAATGGACTTCATGGAGTTATGTGTTTGGCTTTGCAATGAAATAAAGTTATACTGTCCTCTTGGAGAAACTGTAAATGGTTTGTATTAAAGTTTCCTGTTATAATATTTTCTGATATTTATAAGATATATATGAATTGAGACAAAGATATTTATTCATTATTATTTTTCTTGCTGTCTTTCTGTAGAATAGTATTTAAATTTAAAGAATAATATTGAATTGAATAAAGTATTATTCTGTACGTCATCTACATCTATATCTACTAATTACTGTCTGCCTTCTTTAGAGAAGATCAGTGTCATCAAGATCATTATCATTGCTTTGTTTAAATTCACTTATTTTCCTTGTGCAATTTTAAAGTTACATTAACACAAATGTTTAGTCTCTATAGTGGGTAATCCACCAAAAGGTATTTTTGTATTATTTTTGTATTTTTGTTCCTCATCAAGGTTCATGTTACAGCCTTTTCCACACCTTTTTGTATATAATCATCTTTAAAGAATATTTACTTCTTTTCAATATTACCTTGCTAGCCCAAAAAGACACATTCAAGATAGACATATCTGGATTCTTGAGAGAGATAGGTACTGTTCAGGTCTTTTTTTATCCCTCTATTATTTCTGATAATAACATAGTAAGAAGAACTGAACAAAAATGTTAAAGTTTTTGGACTTCTAACCAAAAATAAGTTAAAGAGGTATAGTTATGATACTTTTTAGAAGAAAGTCCTTGAATGTCAATTTTCAGTTGTCATGTAAACTTTGAAAGATATTTGCCAATATATTCATTTTGAAGTTTAAGTTTCAAAATTCAAAAATTTATATTTTTTTTATCTTTATCATGCAACCATGCATATTAAAACCAATGCAACCCGTAGCCTACGCCGTAGACCCTCCCTTCCAAATGAAGATAGGGTCTACAAATTAATGAGGCAAAGCTTGCTACAGGCCGTTATTAATTTATGCGTAAATATTTTTAATTATTGATCATTCCCAGATCCTATTGGGGTTTTTATTGTCAAGCTCAATGAGGTGTTAAATGAACTATAGTCAATTGAAAGGCCTCCTTTCTATTGATTATGAATGAACTAATGGTGTTGAATGCAGATGTTGACCGATGTATCTTGTGTTTTGAAACACAACTTGCAAAGATATACACCCAATACCCAATGCCTCTGCAAATATCGTTTCATCAAACTCCTCCACATCGGATCATACCGTCATATTGATTTGTTTTGCATGTCCTTAATTATGCAAGTATTAATGCTCTTGCATGAATTAAGTTCCAAAATTTGAGAACGGCCTTCGTTTGGAGGGGGGGTTCTATGACGTAGGCTAATGCAGCCCTTTTTCCCTTTGGATTCTAGTAAATATTATACTTTTGTTTGCATAGGTTGCCCATACGCAAATTTGATTGGTGTTGATGGTTTAGAAAGTTATGCAAACAGAATTTTACTTTTAGGTAAGTTTTGAGTTTTTTATCTGTCCAGTAGTTATGTCCTGTTCAATGCATGTACAGTTTTAATAATTTATTAAAAATTTCTTTGAAGATTTAGCAGTTAAAAGAATACAGTCACAAAGACCAAACATCTATTTTGGTATTCATTTAGAACTTTGTTAAGGGCTACTGATTTATAAGTAGATGCCAATGGATTGATGTTTTTTAATTTCAACATAACATGTTGTAACCACCTTGCAGTTAGCATCCTTGTAAAAGCATATCTTGTCCCCAAGGCCAAACATAAAAAGGTCAGAATAAAATTGTCTGTAAAAAAAATATTCTTTGACAATTAAAAACTTTTGGGATGAAAAAAATCCCTTGATAAGGTTGGTCTAGAGTCCATGTCTCTGGGAGAGGCCTGTGGATATTAGTGCAGCAGATGTAGGAAAAGGAAGATGGCTCAATTAAAGGAGATATAAAGACACACATGCCTGCTTATCCAAATCCCCTATGTTTTTATTATATAATAAATCTTTCTTTGCCATTATTCTTTAGCATGAGAAGAGATTCATTCCTAAAATTAGAATGGAAATGATACAACACAATTATTTTTCACCCCATATTTAAGCTTTGGGATAGCTTTCTTTTTTAGCGGTTTACTTAACATTTGCAGGTTATGATTTTTCTTTGACTGTTTGCGACATTTTTTACATTTAGATTTACAATCAATGATCTGTTCTTTTGGTTTTGATCACTGTTTAATTGTTTTTCTTGTTATATTCACAATCTTACCCTCTAAATTTTTTGGCTTTTGTTTCTATTTAAGTAACTAAAACACAATAGCTTGTGGGATGTTAGAAGAAAGTCCACCTGAAGCCAAATTTTTCTAAAAAAATGGCAATCCAGCACTGGGTTATCTGGCCTTTCAGATATCTGGCATTTCCCTACTTCCTATTATTGAATACTTATCCTTATTTTCAGATTTCCTCACTTCAGAGGTAATGGCTTGCAGGATGATTGGTCATGATGCAGATGCAGAAACTGCACAGGTTTTCATTTGTTGATCTATCAATACCTATTCCTTTCTTGTTAGTACTGAAGTGTTTTGTTTCAGTACAGAATCTGCTTTTGACATTTTGTGACAGAGCAGATAATTTGGTGATTTAAGATTGCAAGCATTTTGAATCACACAATCATACAATGGAAGTGGTTACAGTTAAATTTTATTGTTATGCTTTGACTTAGCACCCACCACAAGTGACAATTTTTCAAAATATGGTCAAATGACTACCTGCATTTAACAACCTGCTTGCAGAAAACCAGAGAGTTAGTATTCTATTGAAAGTAAATTATTTAAAAGTTATTTTCTGAGTTATTTTCATCTAATGAAAAACTATTATGTAATGCGTGTTTATGTTTAGATGTTCACAAAGAGGTCAATCACAGTTGGTTACCCAGAGCTTTCTAAAATATCCATAATTTGTTAAAATTTTTAAGTTGGGAAAGGAATACCTTTGAACAAACAGATCACTCTTTGATAAGTTACTTTTGTAGCATTTAAACTAAAAATCTTTACTGCTTAAATTGATTTTAAGGTTCAAAGACATGATGGGTGTTTTAGGTTAATGCATTGTGTTTGTTGATTTGGCTAGCTATCAATTCCCTGGAAAGTATATTCAAGCTTTTTTAAATTCCAGTTTATCAAAAGGGCTTCAAAGAGCAAAGTTTCAGTTTTCCTTGCAGGCTATGTGTTCTGCCTAATTGTAAGAAACCCTAAGTTTAATCAAAAGAGTTAGGGCAGACTTTACTTGATCAATGAATTTAGCTGGAAGTGTGCTGTTCTGGAGGCAATTACTCTATAGCACTCTTTATTTTTCTTTCAGGCTTCAGGCAATCCGATCCTTTTGCCCATAAATGCAATTGCAAAAGCTTTGCAAATGCCTCCTCCATCAAAAGATGAAACAGTATTCAAATTATTCACAAATATTGAAAACAAGGTAAAACCTTGCATTGTTTCTCCTCTAAGTAAAGCAAGACTAGTCTTTTATACATTGATACTTCTGCAATGATGCTACAAAAGATGTTAAAAGACTATAAAACTTATTCAATCACTCAATTATTGACATTTGTGAGTTAATTAATTGTTATACATTATACATATTTTATTAATCTATTTTTTTGTAACAGATACTTTAAAAGGTACCATTTTGCCCTAAGGTTGCTAGCCTATAATTGATTACTTTTGTAAACAATATACAACTTTTTCCCCTTTGATAATATGTCTTTTCCCCATAGTTTGCTATTTAATGTTCTCATTTTGTTGCCTTATGCCAGCTTTTGACATTCTAAATTGATAGTAGTTGGTAGGTACAATCAGACTGTTTTCTCTTTGAAGGTCCGAGGGGTTTTATCCCAGTTACCCCAGGCTCATATTGGAGATGCATTACTCCAAAAACGACTAAGTGAAAAACAGTGGGTATGTATGTATATTCACATCAACTGTTTGAAATTTTCTGTTTTTACTTTGACATTGCATCAAGTGTGAAACTCAGAGTTAGATATTAGAACCATGCTATTCTATACACCAAAGGGGGCACAGCTCTGCCTAAACGGCATCAGGCACTTTGTAACAGATGGGTAGAACGGTAATTTCCAATTTCTTATTTTTTTTATTTTACATTTCTAAGAAAGAATTTTATCAGCATATGAGCTCAACAATAACATTGGAAAGTGCAGATTGTACATACTATTTATCTATGAGTACTTCAAAACACAATTTTATTCAAAAACACAATGTACTCATCAGTTTTTTAATCATTTTAATTGTCTTGTATAAAAACAGAAAGTAAAGTACGAGTACTGGTTTATATATACTTTCATGAATAAAAAAACAGGCAGAACTGACATTTCATTGCAAGTCATCAATGACAGAAAATTATTTCCATTGTCTGAAAGTCTGAAAGTAAGTTAGTTGAATTATATCACACGTTGTTCTAGTGTATGTGATACTTGCCAAATTCAGCAAACCAACCCCCTCCAGCATTTAATGAAATTTTCTGTCCTTTAACAGTCTGAAGTCGAAAAGCTTAACGAAATGCTGGCCAACGAATATCACATCCGACGACAGGTTTTATTGAAAAGAATAGACCTGACAATCCAGTCGTTTTTATGGAGTGACCAGGCAAAGGTAATTTTCAAGCCATTTTTGGTGGTGCAAACATTATAAATGACTTTGAAAAAATCAAACATTTTGAAACAATCTACAGTTTTTCGTCTGACACTCTTCAGAGTATAGATCGAAATCGCTAGGAAATATATTTATATCCAGTTTTGGATCGAAATAGGTCAATCAGAAACGCAAGCACATGACCGGTTTAGTTACCCGACCAGTACCACGTGCCTATGGAAAAATTGCTATTAGAGTCCAAAGGTGAAAACTAGCTCCTTCTGTCTACACAATACAGTGGTTCCCTCATTCTGTCTCTAGATAGATTCTAAAAAGCCTTATTGTATTTTGCGAAAATTTTCGCATAATGCGAAAATGCGAAATTTCGCAAAATACAAGTTTCGAGGTGGTATTTTGTAAAATGCGAAAATTGATTCTAAAAACTTTATTTGCCCAGATCAACGACCGAAAACAAGCAATTCATATTCAGGGCGACTCTGTTCATGCAAATAGCCTAGTTCATGTCCCATTTAACGTTAGATAGCTCATGGACACATTTTGGAAAATGGTTCAAAAACCAACCACACCAAGGCCATGAACGGCCTAATTGTGAATTGCCCATTCCAGCGAAATACGATAACAGTAAGCATCCCGGTGCTTGCTAATTGGTAATTGGTAAATACCCAACATTCTGCGTGTTCTGTGTTGTTTTAGGGGTAATTTACGCCTTTATCCACAAGGCCTATTTTCCTGTTTCCTTCCCGGTGAAACCCGCGTGGCTGGAAAAGGACGGGGGTGATGTCAAAAGATTTTCGCAAAATACAAAATGGCTGGGGTTTTTTGTATTTTGCGAAAACTCGCCAAACATTGTCGAAATGTTAGTTTTTATTTGAGAAAATGTACGGAAAGGCTTTGGACTGTATTTAAAATTTTGTTTTTTGAGTAGGCATCAAAAGATTCGATCAAATTAAAGAATTTTCGCAAAATACAAAATGGCTGGGGGTTTTTGTATTTTGCGAAAACTCGCCAGACATTCTCGAAATGTTAGTTTTTATTTCAGAAAATGTACGGAAAGGCTTTGGACTGTATTTAAAATCTTGTCAATTGAGTAAGCATCTAAAGATTCGATCAAATTAAAGAATTTTCGCAAAATACAAAATGGCTGGGGGTTTTTGTATTTTGCGAAAACTAGCCAAATATTGTCGAAATGTTAGTTTCTATTTGAGAAAATGTACGGAAAGGCTTTGGACTGTATTTAAAATCTTGTCAATTGAGTAGGCATCAAAAGATTCGATCCAGTTAAAGAATTTTCGCAAAATACAAAATGGCTGGGGGTTTTTGTATTTTGCGAAAACTAGCCAAATATTGTCGAAATGTTAGTTTTTATTTGAGAAAATGTACGGAAAGGCTTTGGACTGTATTTAAAATCTTGTCAATTGAGTAGGCATCAAAAGATTCGATCCAATTAAAGAATTTTCGCAAAATACAAAATGGCTGGGGGTTTTTGTATTTTGCGAAAACTCGCCCAACCGATAAAATTCAATCACATGGAATGTCACCAGATTGGCACAAATAGGCACCCAGGAAGTAGAACAAAAGAAAAAATGTCATTATGAATGAGAAGAGGGAAGTCTTCACACGTTGATGACACAAATAATGGGCGTCCTGCTAATTTCTTTTAAGAAGTGAGTCATTGTCTGGCGCCAAAGAAAATGCATGCACCTTTTTGTTGTAGGTTCCTGCTACACTATCAAAAAACCCAAAGCCTCTTTCTAAAGCCTTACCGTACATTTATTCAAATAAAAACTAGCATTTCGACAATGTTGGGCGAGTTTTCGCAAAATACAAAAGCCCCTAGCCATTTTGTATTTTGCGAAAATTCTTTAATTGGATCGAATCTTTTGATGCCTACTCAAAAAACAAAATTTTAAATACAGTCCAAAGCCTTTCCGTACATTTTCTCAAATAAAAACTAACATTTCGACAATGTTTGGCGAGTTTTCGCAAAATACAAAAACCCCCAGCCATTTTGTATTTTGCGAAAATCTTTTGACATCACCCCCGTCCTTTTCCAGCCACGCGGGTTTCACCGGGAAGGAAACAGGAAAATAGGCCTTGTGGATAAAGGCGTAAATTACTCCTAAAACAACACAGAACACGCAGAATGTTGGGTATTTACCAATTACCAATTAGCAAGCACCGGGATACTTACTGTTATCGTCTTTCGCTGGAATGGGCAATTCACAATTAGGCCGTTCATGGCCTTAGTGTGGTTGGTTTTTGAACCATTTTCCAAAATGTGTCCATGAGTTATCTAACGTTAAATGGGACATGAACTAGGCTATTTGCATGAACAGAGTCGCCCTGAATATGAATTGCTTGTTTTCGGTCGTTGATATGGGCAAATAAAGTTTTTAGAATAAGTTTTCGCATTTTACAAAATACCACCTCGAAACTTGTATTTTGCGAAATTTCGCATTTTCGCATTATGCGAAAATTTTCGCAAAATACAATAAGCCTTCTAAAAATGCTAGATAGAGCGACGATCGGGCGTTGTCAATAATCCGAAACATGTTGCCATTAGAGTTTTATGCACAGTATTTTGATCTGCAAGAACGAGGATGCTGTTCTCTTGAGGGTTCTTTCTCTTGGTGTAAGAAACATTATGTTTTGTTATCCCCCGATCTTTGGGTTTGAGAAACCCTTTTTGGGCACATGGAAGGACTGTTTTTGTACTGTGAACAACACGAGGATTTACAGCAAATTATGTTTCAAAATGTTTACTTTTTTCAACGCCGTTTTTAAAGGTAACTTGTGCCTCTTGGCCCAGCTGGCCTTCTCGTTTATTTGGTATTTTTTGTACTTCATTCTGCAGCTCTTATATCTTAAATTTAAATGCATGAACACAAACTTTCACAGGCAAAGAAAAATGATATCCAAGCCTCTTTCCGGTCAGTTAGAAATTTGATAGCTGCAGGGACAAATGTTGCTGTTGCTGATGTATTGGCAGCTCGAAAAGGTATCCTTAGTTCAACTCTAGCATTCTTAAAGACGTAATATTTTAAGTGAGCCAAAAGTAAAACCTTTCTCATATGTTGTAACATGTTTTAAAAATTTGTTCTCCAGTTTTAGTTGTTATGTTCTGACCTGCTAGGAGCTAATTGAACAAGCAAATTAATTTTGAAGAAATTAAGAACTCGATTTGTCTTGATGTCTTGATAGAACATCCTGATTCAAATTTGAAGCACAGTTCATTTTTGCTAGCTTTCGAATTGAACATCTTTATGCGGTACAAAATTTAAATTTCTTTTAAAAAGCAAACATTTTGAATAATGGGCACGTGACACTGATTGAGCAACCTCGACAGTCATGTGCTCACGTTTCCTATTGGCTATATTTATTTTTCGTAGAGTTTTGTCCTGAAATTGTATACTCTTGAGTGTCAGATGAAAAGCTTTGGCATGATTAAAAATGTCTGCTTTTTTCTAAGCCATTTTAAAGACCTTCACTTCGCAAAATTGTGGCTGCTTGAATGACTGCAGCGAGGATACTATTAGGCAAAGATATGCATGATCCTTCTCTTAATTTTCATAAGTTATGCTTATCTGTACATGTTTCGGTTCAAATTTATGTTTTTATTTTTACAAGATTTGTGTAAGTTGGAAAAGACAAGTTCAGGTGAAGCGAGAGAAGTAACAAAATGTGACATTAACAAAATCCTGATTGGAAAGGTATAAATTTGCTTCGTTTAGCGATTGCAGCTCGTTGCTTCCTCTGTTGAGACTTATATACTGCTATACGGAATGATAATTCAATAGCATGGCCTATGCATGACCAGACATTACGTGTACAATATAACATAATAGATATCTTCTCTGATAAATTGTGGTTCAATTTCAAGCCCTTCATATGAAAACACAAATGTGATCATGATGTTGAGCATATTTTAATTTTTAGGTTCCCGATCGAGGAGGACGACCATCGTCAGAAGCACCGGCTCCAGAAATGCCAGCATTTAGAAAACGAACAGAGCCACAGCGAGGCCAAGGTAAGAAAAATATTAAAAATAGCACCGGCATTATCCATAAAATTTTACGCAGCCAATTATTCTGTGATGCTTGATAGCTGCCAAGTGAAGCTTCCCTATCCTGGGACTGCAATCGAATATCATGTTTTGGCTATTCTTGCCGCAACTCAAAAAGCCCTTTCATAAGCAGCTTTTTCATAATGAAAATAACTGTTTACCGGGCTTTCATAAGGTGCTTGATGCTGTATAGGCAGAGCTGTACACGTTGCCTGATTATTGTATTCAGCGTGAAACTCGGAGTAGCAATTTAGAAGCACCCTGTTCTTTAGAATTTAGAAGCAAAGTTCTATGTATCTGCAGTAAAGGTTATTCAACGATTTCAATCTCAATTTATCAGTCAACTAGGAATTGGAAGAAAGACAGAAAATTCTCATCAGGAAATTGCTGCATGCTTCTTGCTGTTTAAATTCGTTATCATCAATGATGCCATAGATTGCTACCAGTGCTTCCACTTTGAAGAAAATTAAGATTCTGAGGAAATGTTAAGGAAATTTCGTAATTTTGGCCTTCTGTTCCATTTTAACACGATGTTCTTATTAAGACAATTTCTTTGGACTTTTAAATTCAAAATAAATAATAATGTAATGTACTGAACTCAGATACTAAGTTTTTATTTTGTTTTGTTGCTCTGATATTCAACAATGTGTTTTACAACAATCGATAGTTTCAATAAGTCTCTGGCCATTTTTTTCGCCCAATTCTGTGTACAGTCACGCCGCTTTGCTGTTATTTGCTCTTTCTTTTTTTCAGCTTTCCTTGAATGATTTTTGAAAGTAAAAACCATAAGTTGAGTAAAAATGCTTTATGCATAGAATTAGATGGTTGTCTCATTTGCTACTATATTTCCTCGGAAGGTTGGAGAAACGATCGAGGAGGACACGGCGGCAGAGGAGGACACGGTGGTAGAGGTGGCTATGGAGGAGGTGGCGGTGGCGGTGGTGGCGGTGGTGGCAGTGGTGGCGGTGGTGGCAGTGGTGGCGGTGGTGGTGGGCAGAGTGGTCGAGGAGGCGGATGGGGCGGTAGAGGGGGGCCTCGGGGAGGAAGAGGACGTGGTAATTACGGTGGAAATCGTGATAGCGAGAAAATGTACTTTAGCTGAAAATAATTAGACATCTATATTGAAATGATTTAGCTTTAATGATAAGAATTTAAATGGTGTTTCATTTTTAAAAGCTTGCTTCTCATGTCAAGTTTGTTGCCCTTCCAAGAAATGGACTACCGTGTTGATATCTTTGTTAAGCAGCGCATATCAAAGGCAGCATACGCACTGTGTTAAATGAATATAGTCTATAGGAATATTAAGGCTGAAAATCTCTGGAAATTTAGTATAATATATGAAAAATGCAAGGCTAAAGCTTGATCAGAAATTAATTTTTTTGTTAATTTAAGTTTTTGGAGAGCAAAACAATGAGAGTTATGCGCAATGTGTTTTGAAATAGACGTATGTGGCCTTGGAGTGCTGGAACATAACTCTTGCTAAATACAGAGTAATTTTTGCAGATGATACCGAAAACTACGTAGGAGCTGCTAAAATCGACAGAATTGAGGTTGTCCTATCAGGTTTAGTTTTATAGTAATTGTTCTATATTTATTGTCCTGTCCTGTCCTGTCCTGTCCTGTCCTGTCCTGTCCTGTCCTGTCCTGTCCTGTCCTGTCCTGTCCTGTCCTGTCCTGTCCTGTCCTGTCCTGTCCTGTTCTGTCCTGTCCTGTCCTGTCCTGTCCTGTCCTGTCCTGTCCTGTCCTGTCCTGTCCTGTCCTGTCCTGTCCTGTCCTGTCCTGCCCTGTTCTGTTCTGTCCTGCCCTGTTCTGTTCTGTTCTGTCCTGCCCTGTTCTGTTCTGTTCTGTTCTGTCCTGTCCTGCCCTGTTCTGTTCTGTTCTGTTCTGTTCTGTTCTGTCCTGCCCTGTTCTGTTCTGTTCTGTTCTGTTCTGTTCTGTTCTGTTCTGTTCTGATCTGTTCTGTTCTGTTCTGTTCTGTTCTGTTCTGTTCTGTTCTGTTCTGTTCTGTTCTGTTCTGTTCTGTTCTGTTCTGTTCTGTTCTTGTTTTTTTAATGACGTAACTCATCAACAAAGATTTGATTTTTTCTCTGATCTTCAGGCGAATTTACACATTGTATCGCTTAAGACTTATTTAAGAATAATCTTAGGCTCATAATTAACAAAGTTAAGAACATACATGCTCAACAAAATATTTGGTATTTTTATAGAAAAGTGTGTATTTTTCTTAAACCAATGATAACTTTCTGCTTATCAGCCATTCGGGAAACACTTTTCAGCGACTGATCTACGCCCTCACAATGCATCATAATTTTAATGAGGCAACTTTGCCCGGGACTTTTCTTTCCAATCGAAGGTGGAAATGCTTCTATCGTTTTAGAGTTGCATCTTATACAGATTAAGAAAGTAAATTAATCGTTGGTTCAGAACTAAGAGATTTCCGGAGAGTTATCTAAGTACAACGTCAGCTAGTCATTAATGACAGCAGTAAAAGGAAAGAGTATTTCTAATTACTTTGGCCAATATGTTTAATGCTGCCAGGTACAGTTAAAAGTCCTTTATCTGATGTACTAAGTGTGCTAACGTACATTAATGACGAGTTGAACAATTCTACCGCGTGTAGTTGAGGCACAGTGGGAAAACAATGACGCAGAATAAACTAATTCTCTCAAAGGACTATATTGATTCCTGTATTTTTCATTAATAGCACCTCATATGAAGCCTCAATTCATTTCATGATAAATAAAGATTATATACTTTACAATTTTGTAGCTTTTATTTAGATGCACCTTAGTGATAGAACATCATATGGTCATATGTTTTGACCTTTTGAATTTGCCACACAGTGGTTGTACTGGGGACTCGAGACTTTCTTCCTTTTTTTCATTTCCTTTTCTGTTTTCTAATGGAATTTACCTAATGTGAATAATTCAAAATACAGTATGTTTAGGCACAATTTCCACAACTCGAACCCTCAGAAAGGTCTACATAGGATTTAAATCTGTATGGTCGTTCTGTATATGGGATTTAAACTTAAATTTTCAAACAACTTGTTATTAAATAGTACCTTAAGTCGAAGGATGCTTCTCTTTTTCAAAAGTGGAAGAAATTTGGTAGAAATATTCCAAACCGTTTCATTAAGTTGCGTAAGCAGATATGTTTGTATTTGGGCCTTAACCAATTGAAAATAAACGTAAAGAAAATCTGAAAATGAATTCATTTTCTAGAAAATGAATATTCGTTAATTTGAATTAATCTGAATTTTGATAGAAATTCAATCTAAAGCTCGCTATTAAGCAAAAGCGGAGAATTATTGAACATGAACTTGTTGAAATGCTGAAGTGAATCATAAGATTTTCCGTAAGTAGACCGACCCTTAATGTAATAAATCTAATTTTCGCGTTATTTCTTAAAAAGAACACCCCAGATGTAATAAGTAGATTTTTTTTAGAATAAGAATACAAGTTCACGAGATTTAAGAAGAATTTGTATCAAAACAACAACATAAGCAAAGTGAAATAGGGGAGCTAGATTGATGAATAAAATAAAACTGAATAGGAAGTAAACATTACAAAGAACTACAATAAACAAGGAAAGAATAAAAGAGAAATTTTACTGCTTATGATCTTTCAGGTATTTCTAGCTGTTCTTTAAATGTTTGATTATTTTTGCAATAGGCAAATCAAATGGAAGTGAATTGCAATACGAAATTCTACACTCTTTTCTTTTGAAAAGAACAATTTTAGAGGAATACGAGCCTCAAAATTTGGCGAAAGTTAAGAACAAGCTGAGAATGAGCTTCTGCAAAATGAAAATTTGAACAACATTTTTTCTCAAAATTGAGGATTTATAACCATGTGTGGGTGCTTTTTGGTGAATATTCAAACCTGTCGGTTAATGAAAGTTGTCTCACTCACTTTGTTGGAAAATGAGGCCTGCAGGGTCTCCGATGAAGGGGGGCTCCAAAATTATGGTAAAACAATAGAGCTTTTTTAAAAATCCTTTGTTAAGATTGTCAAATCTTCTCTTGCCCCCCCCCCACCCCATTTTCCCATGCGTCTGAGCCCATGGCCTGACTACCTCCCTTGAGCGAAAAAGCTTGTAATGGTACTGTTTGCACCCTATTAATTAGAAAACAAATCAAGGACAATCCAGCCTCAGATTTTCGAAAAAATGAGGAACAGTCAGCCTGAACTTAAATTTACTGCTTCTTTTTAAGAGAATGTAGAGAACAAATGAAGGGATTGTGTCCGGTATGTAAGCAATTTTAAGCAACACATTTACAGTAATAATATAGTAATATTGTGATAATCTTATATTGGATCCAATTAGTTAATTGGCTTGCCTTTACATATTCATGCTATAATTCGTGAAAAATTTTGTGTCGTGCCAAATAACAACAACTACAGACAAAGTTGTTGTTGCCACGGTGATGCAGTTCATCGACAAATTGTAATTAGCAAACAGCACAGGGGACCGACAGCATAAATGATTGTTTGATACTTCCGGTTGAAAGGCTTTCCACACATGACTAGCACACAATATTCAAAACTGCAGTTACGCAAGTTGAAACAAGGTTATTATTAGTGGACTTCATCCAAAAAGGCTTTGCAATGTTTCGGTTGTTCGTTATTCTTGTTATCGATTTAATCGCATTCACCGTCATATTGCCATTACTGCCGTCGATCCTGCTTCATTATGAAAAGTTTTCTGGAGAGAACGAAGACTCGTTACTCCGATCCACGCTGATGTTGATGAATTCGACAAAAGAGAAGCTGAACATGCCAAACACAGACCGATACAACAGTGTTTTAATTGGAGGGTTTCTCGGATCTCTCTTCTCGTTTCTGCAGTTTATTTGCAACCCAGTATTTGGGGCACTCTCAGATATCATGGGGAGAAAGAGGATTCTCATTGTCACCATGCTTGGAACTGCCTTATCATATTTTGTCTGGTTGAAATCAAACACTTTCAAATTGTTTTTATTATCGCGTATCATTGGTGGTTTGAGTAAGGGAACAGTAACAGTTGCAACGGCGATGATGTCAGACATTACAACAAAGGAGAACAGAGGAAAAGGGATGGCAGTTATTGGAATAGCCTTTGGTGTTGGGTTCACTGTTGGCCCCCTTTGTGGTGCCTACTTTGCCTCAGATCTCTCAGCGTCCCTCAAAAACCCATTTCAATCAGCAGCAAAATTTTCCTTGACTTTACAGATCATTGCTGTTATTCTTACAATGCTAACTGTCAGAGAAAGTCCAAAACCCGCCAAAGGCATTGCAACAAGGGAAAGAATATCTGCAGCATTTGCTTTAATAAACCCTGTATCATTACTCAACTCGTGTCTTTGCTGGAAAGAAGATCCGGATAGAGTTGCTATAAAACAACTCACTGTTGTCCATTTTGGGTATCTGCTTCTCTTCTCTGGTCTGGAGTTTACATTAACATTCCTAACACATCAAAGATTTGGGTTTGGAAATAGACAGCAGGGGATGCTTTTTCTCTACCTTGGCGTTCTTATGATGTTAATACAAGGAGGGTATGTAAGAAGAGCAAAAGTCAACCAGGAAAGAAGTTTAGCAATTTTTGGCATCTTTTCGATGATACCTTCTATGGTTCTGGTTGCATTTAGCAACTCCACATTGATTTTATGCACTGGGCTCACATTTTATGCATTTGGTGCTGCAACAGTTGTGCCATGTCTCACTGCATTATATTCTCAGAGAGCCAGTAGCATTGAAAGTGGAGAAATGCTTGGTATTTTCAGATCAGCTGGGGCCCTTGCAAGGGCAATGGGTCCCTTCCTTATGTGTTTTGTTTATTGGACATTTGGATCCACATTATGCTATCTTTCTGGGGCTTTACTTTTTGTACTGCCTTTAGGACTTTGTTCAATTATGAGAATAGAAGATGTAAAGAAGGATTAGTTAGATAAAGAATGGATTTATCCATTTATTTTGGTTACTGTAGATTATTATAGTGTCATACCACTACATGATGTTTTGTCCTACATGAAGTTAATATACATGTATGTATTATCTATTTAATCTTGTTAGTTTGATCTTATTGCTTTTTCAGTTTTTATATTTATTTTCATGCTTAAAATTGAGGAATTGCTTATAAACTACTAACATAGTTTCATCAGATTGTAGCATGTCTTTTTTTAAAAAAAGATTTAGGAGTCTAAAGTGATACTGGTTTATAGTTCTTCAAATGTGCCTCACATAGCCAACAGTTAGAAATGAAATATGAATTATTTGTGAATTTTCCTCACTGGAAGCATTTAAATGTAATTAAATGGATTGAAAACAGTCTAGCCCTGGTATGCTGATGGCCATCAACTA